TGATCGGCTCTAAATGACACGTGGATCATCGGACTGGCGCCAAATTGGATACGTATGACCTTTGTTGACCTCTAAAGAGCAAAACAGCATTGAAATGTATTTTGACTCCACTGCGCCCCTACATTAATCCGCCAGCTATATTTCCTCGCTAAACCAATGAATCTATACCACATTTTTTTGCATCGTAAAGGATAGCCGCCGAACGCATAGATGCGTACCGCCTGGTGGACGGGCGCGGAAACTGCGCAAACAACTTCTGTCTTAGCACGTGCGCAGCGTTGATGGAAACTGAGCAACAGCTTCCGCGGTGCGGGCGCAGGCGCTGAAAACTGAGTGAGAGCTTCTGTGGTGGCTGGCATGAGGCGGCGGTTGCTCGTACCCCGCGGTGGCAATAGGCCGGAGCGGCGCTTGGCTGCGAGGGCCGTTCGAGGCTGCTTGCAGCTTTAATTATTATTCTGCCCCCTAAAGAGGGGCCTTTTTGGGGGCTTTATCATTTTCAAAAACTCACCAAACTTGGCGGACGCGTAAAGGGAGTTTCAAAATTTTGTATTTTAAGGTCATTGCAAAAATCCCATAAAAAATGGCTCAATAGCGCCACCTACAAATTTTCAAAGGACCCTTTGCTATTCACTTACTTTATCATAGAGACATGAAATTTGGTACACTTGTAGAGCTCCCAAGATGCTCAAAATTTACAATTAATGTCATAGTGCAAGTATCACAGGAAGTCAGCCATTTTGGATTGAAGGTCCAATTTTGGGGCCATTTTTGCCGTTTACAGCCTTCGTATTTGATCGAACTCCTCCTAGGGATTTCGATTGATCGGCTTCAAACTCGGTCAGTCTGTTCATAAGGCATGTCCCATCTAAAGTTATCAAAACGGTGAGTTTTTGAGTATGCTGAAGGGGGGTTAGCAGGGGTCAAAGTTCACCTACTCGCCAAAAAAATAAACTGCTATATCTCCTACACAGAAACTCACAGAGGCACCAAAGTTTCTGTGATTGATCATTATCGGGTCTCCTACAATACCCTATGGTCGAATGATGACATCACTTAGGCCACGCCCCATGAGAACAGGAAGTGTCATGTTTTACTGTGGATGGTCGCTATCTGACCCCTTTGACCTCATCAACATGAAACTGTGCCCAGACACAGAAGACATGTTGGTGTGTTGAGGATTCCAACCACGACCAGATTCGATGGAGCAGGTGGGCGTGGCGGCGTGGCGAAGTGACCTCTAACGCCATCGCCATACGTTTGGCTCTCAATTCCACATTTTCGGGCCCAGCTGCTCCAAACTCACAAGGATGGATCGCCATCAACTCCCCGACAGGAATCCATCACAATATTTGTGGGGCGTGGCCTAATTTCTCTATAGCGCCCCATAGAAAATTTTAAATGATCAGCCCCAAGCCATGCTTTAACCTACAATTACGAAACGTTGTACACATGTGTACCTTGTCAGGACTTACAAAAAAGTCTCTTGGAGCCATGGTCTAAACCCCACAGGAAGTCGGCCATTTTAGATTGAAGTTCAGATTTTGACCCCATTTTTGCCGTTTACAGCCTCCGTATTGATCGAACTCCTCCTAGGGATTTTGATTGATCGTCTTCAAACTCGGTCAGTCCGTTAATAAGGCATGTCCCATCTGAAGTTATCAAAACGGTGAGTTTTTGAGAATGCTGAAAGGGGGTTAGCAGGGGTCAAAGTTCACCTACACGCCATAAAAACATAAACTGCTATATTTCCTACACAGAAACTCACAGAGGCACCAAAGTTACTGTGATTGATCATCATCGGGTGTCCTACAATACCCTATGGTCGAATGATGACATCACTTAGGCCACGCCCCCTGAGAAAAGGAAGTGTCATGTTTTACTCTGAACGGTCGCTATCTGACCCCTTTGACCTCATCAACATGAAACTGTGCCCAGACACAGAAGACATGTTGGTGTGTTGAGGATTTCAACCCGACCAGCTTCGATGGAGCAGCTGGGCGTGGCGGCGTGGCGAAGTGACCTGTAACGCCATCGCCATACGTTTGGCTCTCAATTCCACATTTTTGGGCGCAGCTGCTCCAAACTCACAAGGATGCATCTTCATCCATCCCCGACAGGAATCCATCACAATATTTGTAGGGTGTGGCCTAATTTCTCTATAGCGCCCCCTAGAAAATTTTAAATGATCAGCCCCAAGCCATGCTTTAGCCTACAATTACGAAACTTTGTACACGTGTGTACCATGTCAGGACTTACAAAAAAGTCTCTTGGAGCCATGGTCTAAACCCCAGAGGAAGTCGGCCATTTTAGATTGAAGTTCAGATTTTGATCCTATTTTTGGTGTTTATAAACCATTTCAGTAATTCGCCACTTGGGGTCAGTATTGCTCCACAAATGAAACAGCAGATAAACAGGATGAAGAACAATATCAGTATTTCGCCAGTAGGTGTCAGTGTTCCTCCACCGATGATAAACAGATCCATGGGCGGATGGGCGCGAAAACTTTGTGAGAGCGTTGCCATGAAATTTCTAAAAGGATAGAAATGTCTCAGATAATTTTTGTTGAATTAAATCATGCAGTAAATGTAGCGTTTTCTCTACTTCTTACAAACCATTTCAGTAATTCGCCACTCTGAGTAAGAATTACTCCAACAATGAAATAGAGAGTGCTTTAGAAACACAGCTGAAAATGATGAAAATGACGAACTGTAGTACTTCGCCATGTGCATATGATCGGCTGTAAATGACACGTGGATCATCCGACTGACGCCAAATTGGATACGTATGACCTTTGTTGACCTCTAAAGAGAACAACAGCATTGAAATATATTTTGACTCCACTGCGCGTCCTACATTAATCCGCCAGCTATATTTCCTCGCTAAACCAATGAATCTGCACCACATTTTTTGCATCGTCAAGGAGCGCCTCCGAACGCATCAGTGCGTACCGCCTGGTGGACGGGCGCGGAAACTGCGCAACAACTTCTGTGTTAGCACGTGGCCAGCGTTGATGGAAACTGATCAACAGCTTCCGCGGTGCGGGCGGAGGAGCTGAAAACTGCGTGAGAGCTTCTGTGGTGGCTGACGTGAGGCGACGGTTGCTAGTACCCGCGGTGGCAATAGGCCGGAGCGGCGCTTGGCTGCGAGGGCCGTTCGAGGCTGCTTGCAGCTTTAATTTTATTATTATTATTCCAGTTACACGAAGCATCAAACCATAATAAATGCTTTGTCCTCTTATTCAGCCAGAGTTAATCTGTGTGATCTGTAAAACTCGTCCCACAAACTCGAGGAACCACAACAGTTTCTGTGGCCCTTATCAAAAACTCAGCAGATGAAAAATGGAAGAGCTACATTAGCACCATTAATATAAATCTCCCGATTGTTGCTCATCTCTGTAGCGCCAGCGGAGAGATGAGTGCAGTGCAGCGGAGTTAACTCATCATGCAGGGCCGGTCCAAGACTGCATGAGACCTTGAGCAGAATTTGACTGAAGGGCTCCTATTGATGCTAAAAGCATCACCAGCTGCTGATGCTGTTAGAGCAGAGCTCAAACTCAAAGATTAATCTCACAGCGTCAGATCATAGGTATGGTAACAAAACAATCTAACTCTGAATATTGTTCCTTCAAGTTGTACAATGTAAACTTGCCAGCTCCTTAAAATCTTACATTTAAATGTTAAACAATTTAAAATATTTTAATTAATGTATGCTGAATCCATTAAATCAAATTTAGCAGCATTGATCATCTCAATTAACAAATGTTACATTCATGTATCTGTGGTCTGTGTTAAAATATTAGCCTTTATGTTGCCCCTGAAGCCCTGGGGCCTCATGGAGCCACTTACTTAATTTGGATTAAACAGAAGTGGAAATAATTAATATTCATTTTAATTGTATTTTTTGATTTCTTGTTTTTAAGACTAATTGTGGGTTTAAATAGCATCTCACTGGCAATGTTTTCCCGTAACATATAATTACACAGTAATATTTTTTTAATTTTGTGTATACTTAACATCTTTTAATACAAAAACACGATGGACTGCCTCTGCGCCCCGACCAACAGGCTTAGCAAGATTTCTGGAGAAAACCCTCCTTCTGAATATAAAACCGTGACATTCCAGCTGGACGACATCATAATACAAAAATACTAAACAGGCACAGAAACCAGTTGCAACTAGTTTTCCAAAGTTTTATGAGAATAAAGCCATAGCATTAGCACGGTAACAATGCAATATTACAAGAAGAAAGTAGTTTTAAGAAGAGCAAAGTTTTGATAGAGTTATTAATGTCTCGTGATCAGCTTGTCAAGGCCATGGTTCTTTCTTTCAAATAGTTACTGAGTCCTGTTACTGACAATTTGATGTTGACGTGTTGATTAAAACAAGTTTATTCTCGACTTATTACGACTTTGTTCTAGAAATATTATGGATTTATTTTTTGTTAATTTCAAAGTTATTCTACAATGTTTTCCTCTCAATATTTTATTTTGTATTACTTTTTTCTGATAATATTATCACTTTGTTCTTATAATTGCAATTTTATTCTCACACAACTTTCTTCTTATACTACAGCACTCTGCTACAACGAATATGTGACGATTTAATTCTTTGATTGTGCTGTTTTAGAGACTTTCCATAAAATGTAAAACTCCCCATCAGTCATTGAATTGTCATGATACATTCATTGATTAGAATCTGCTCTTCTTTTTGTGTTTTTCCTACTAATCGAATGAAACTCGTGAAAATGAATGGGTCATTGCCAAAACATTCTGCTTCCCATCCTGCAACATGTTTGTTTCTTACATGGAGGTCTGAATGTGGACAAAAACTGTGAAGGCAGCGTGAGATAAAACGCTCAGGCAGCAGTTGTTGCCTTGTGTAATGTGTTTGGTGTAAAACAAGAGCTTGCCAAACTGAGAACACAGACATTGTTGATTTTGGGGGCTTTTGTCCTTTCTAGTATTTCTGTTTGTTTAACATTGCTTTATGCGTCCTCTTCAGAGCTGTGTGTATGGTGAAAACCGGACGTCCATCCAGTGCACCACGCCTTCCCTGGCTAAGCTACCTCTGCAACCGCCGGTGGTCACCAAGGTGGCATTTGTCCTGGACGGCTACTTGACAGACCAGAAGGACCTGATCTATGTGGAGGACCCCCTGTTCCAGGACCCCAAACTGACATCCAAGGACAACAAGAGCATCGTGGAGCTCAAAGTGAGGGTGCTTCATTGTTTTTTTTTCTTTCTGTTTTTAAGCGTCTCCTATATGGTGGTGTGTCACTCAGAATTGTTGTTGGCGTCTGAGGTCAGACCCGACAGATTTACTTTCATGAGTAGACCATTACAGCATTATATGCTCCCCTTGATATTAATGTAAACGATTTTTAGAATTTTCTTTGGGTTTATTTCAAATGTAATGGACACAGGCACAGAAAAGAAAGGAGAAAAAGTTTAAAATAAAAGAGAGAAATGAGTATAGAGAGAACACAAGTCAACAAGTTCTACCTCTAAATCTGCAAAAAGAGAGAAAACAAAACCAAGAAACCAGAACAACAAGCAACATACAAATATAGAATGAGAATTGGAACCCACCACCAGCCTAATGTTTGGTTTTTTTACGTTCACCAATTAGAGCACTTCTGAATGTTTATGTTTGCCTTGGAGTTTATTTCACGGGTTCACCTTATAAGTTTGTGGTTGTAAAGTCTTAAGATGGGAAAATGTTTTGCAAGACCTCCTAAGAACAACTTCTTCCGGAAACTGGAGAACAACTGAGATCGGTTACAGAACGGTAAACCTTGGCGAGGTTCTCGTTTTACATCCCTTTGAGAGAAACAGGTGCAAAACTAGAAATACTACTGAAAATGTTATGGATGTCGAGTACAAGAAAATCTCGGATTTATGAGCCGTGGCAAATTTCAAAAGCAGATGCACATGCTGCCCACTGTGACAAATGCCAACATTACCAAGAGTTCGCAGACTGGGTTGTTGACCTGTCCAGAGTCAGGAGCCAGGTTGACGTGCACACACACACACATGCATGCACACACACAGATCATTGCCCCGTACCTCACAGTCCTCACACACATTCACACGTCCAGCAGGCCAGGTCAAGCTGGGAAGGAAACAATACAGAAAGAAAAACAGGAAGTGGAGTCTGTTTCCCATCTCTTAGACCTGCCCTATCTCTCCTCCTTGGCTGTACCTCTGGTTGTGAGCTCTCCGTCCACTAGCATTGTTCTGACTGAGGTCAAACCTCTTGACATATTAATGCCACTTTTCAAACAGGCCACTGCTGCAGTCCCCTTTTTAGCAACACAATGAAATACATTTTTCTCCACTTTTTTTTTTTGTCTGCAGCCCAACAGTTTGTGGCAGCTGTGCTGAGCCTCTCGCATAGAACCCACACTGTTTTGGATTTTTTTTTTTTTTTTTTTTTTTTGGTCCTCTCCTTCTTTCCCAGACGTGACCTTGGACCCATACTAAACCCACCAGCCTCGCATGTATCCCCTCCTCACCCCATAGGGGGGCATATCTTCTCTCCCAGAGGGAGGGGCTGATTGGGGGGATGGTAAAAGTCAATGCACCCCAACAAGCCACATCAACCAGCATCTGATAACCCTGGCCTCTGGTGTAAAGGCCTCATTAGGCGCCATCTGATAACGCCAGCCTCAAAATTTTTAGCAAACAGCAGCACAAAACAGTATTTACCTGTGACGGATAGTTCTGCGCTCACATGCCAACACATGAAAAAAACCAAGTTGTTGGTCTTGGCTCAGAACCAGTCTGTTATCGCTGCCGATTTGCATGTGGGAGCCTCAGGAAACTCGCTTCGAATTGTAATCCTGACATCTTATTTTCAGGGACTGTTATCACTGTGACACTTTCTTCTGAGTTTGCCTTCTCTCCCCACACTGCACTACGTTTGTATCCCATGAACTTGCCCTAGTGTGCAACTCGGTGCAAGCTCAAGAAGTGCTTTGTGTTTATGAGCATCAGAAAATGTGTGTGTTTGTGTGTGCGTGTGAGCATATGTATGTGTGTACAGGAACAGGTGCGAGACTCCACTCTGTGTCAAATTGGAAAATCCCAACTGTCACGCAAGGAATGTGATCGTTCGTTTTATTGCCCCATGCAGCACTTAGATAACTGTGTTTCTGTTCATGCCTGTGACAGGGAGAGAGAAACAAAGGATGACAGACATTTAACACTCCGTCAAACTTCATTACTTAAATCCACACACTGCTGGTGTGTGTCTCCAGTCCCAAATAGGGTGTATTTGTTGCACAGATTGTGTATTATTCAAATTTGATTATTTTTGTTAATTCCCTTTTGAAATGGCAGCTGTTTGGCTAGACATGATGAAACTGCAGCTCACTTATCCTAAATTTACAAAATGAAAGACAAGGACAGATACTCCTCAATTTGGTGCTGGTTACTTTGTTTATTATGTTCCATCCATCCATCCATCCATCCATCCATCTGTCGCTTATCTGGGCTCAGGTCGCGGAAGTAGTAGCTTCAGAAAGGAGGCCCAGACTTCCCTCTCCCAAGCCATTTCTTCCAGCTCTTCCGGGAGAACCTCAAGGCGTTCCCAGGCCAGCCGAGAGACATAGTCCCTCCAGCGTGTCCTGGGTGCCTCCTCCTGGTGGGACATGCCCAAAACACCTCACCAGTGAGGCATCTAGATGGTCCACCTGACCAGATGCCCAAGCCACCTCACCTGGCTCCTCTCGATGTGGAGGAGCAGCGGCTCTACTGAGTCCCTCCCGGATGACCGAGATTCTCACCCTATCTCTTAGGGAGAGCCCAGCCACCCTACGGAGGAAACCCATTTTGACTGCTTGTATCCATGATCTCGTTCTTTCAGTCGTGACCCAAACTCATGACCATAGATGAGGGTAGGAACGTAAATTGACTGGAAAATTGAGAGCTCCGCTTTTTAACTCGGCTCTCTCTTCACCAAGACGGACCGGTACAGCGCCTGCTTCATGGCAGACACTGTGCCAATTCGCCTGTTGATCTCCTGCTTCCTTCTTCCCTCATTTGTGAAAAAGATCCCAAGATACTTGAACTCCTCCACTTGGGTATGACACCCCCCTCGGCCCAGAGAAGGCACTCTACCTTTTTCCGGCTCAAGACCCTGGCCTCGGATTTGGAGGCACTGATCCTCATCCCATTTGCTTCACACTCGGCTGCGAACCGCTCTAGCGAGAGCTGCAGATCACGACCCGATGGACCCAACAGGATCACATCATTTGCAAAAAGCAGAGAGGTACTCCTAAGACCACCAAAACGGATCCCTTCACCCCCTTTCCTGTGCCTAGAATTTCTGTCCATGGAAGGAATTAACAGAATCAGTGACAAAGGGCAGCCCTGGAGGAGTCCAACTCTCACCGGAAACGAGCCCGACTTATTGTCGGCAATGCAGACCAGACTCCTGACACCGGTCATACAGGGACCTGACAGCCCGTATCAAAGGGCCCGGTACCCCATACTCCCGGAGAACTGCCTCATGGCTCCCCTAGGGACACAGTCGAGCACCTTCTCCACGTCCACAAAACACATGTGGACCAGTTGGGTGAACTCCCATGCACCCGCTAGGACCCTGTTGAGGGTATAGAGCTGGTCCAGTGTTCCACCACCTGGAAGAAAACCACACTGCTCTTCCTGAATCCGAGGTTCGACTATTCGACGTCTCCTCCTCTCCAGGACCCCTGAAAATATCTTGCCAGGGAGGCTTAAGAGTGTGTAATTGGAGCACACCCTTCAGTCCCCCTTTTTGAACATGTTATAATTTCTAGAATTAATGTGAGGGAGATAATAATAAGAAAATTAAATAGAATAAAAATTGGATCATCACATGAGATGTGAGCAATTAATCATCATCTATTCAATTTATGATGCCTCAATACAGAAAAAAAATATCTTAAAAAAATAGGTTGGAATGAAAAAGGTGCTGTCATGGTTTTGTGTAGGTCAGTATGACCCAGATGAACGATAACACTTAGGAGGAAAAGTTAGGAATGAGGGAACCAGAAAGGAACAAAGCAGAACATTTTCATGAAAAAAAACATGGATGACTACCTTGGAGAGGAGAACAGGGAGGCAGGTTTACTAAAAAGCTAATGGTGTTTTTATGCCAACAGACGCCAGCAGACTCAGTTTAATGTACGAAATTGCAACATTTCGTACATTTTCAGCTGCTGCGGTTCTCTTTCAAACTGCACTGAGTGAAATGTCAGAAACCCTTTGAGAAACCTATTCCCCTCCTCACCAGTGGTGGCGTTGAACACTTTTTAGAAGGAAGCGTTTTTTGTCGTTTCCTTCAAACGGAGTGGCATCAAATATTAGCCGTTGTAAGATTTCAACCTTTGTCATTGGTATAAGGCTATGAGCTGCTGGACATGCATGTTTGTATTGGTAGTATTTACCCAGAATGCCCTGCTCTCCTGCTTTGAAAGCAGGAGAGCAGGGGATTCTGCTCCACTTGACGTTCACATACATCCAAGTTCACTTCAACCTAACTGAGACTTAGGTTTTCAGGCAGACCAGATTTTGCTTTCTTGGTTTGCATCAGAGTTAGATCACACAATCACACACCTCCCCCAAACACACCAGACTCTCTTGGCAAAGTAAAGTTTAATTAAAGCAGACTAAATTTGGATGGTGTGAATGCATCCTTAGACTTATGGAAAAACCCAAAGAACAAGATAGGACTTGGGAAAAACCTCAGATGTTGAATTTTCCTTTTGATGCCTCGGTGCAGAGCAGTTGTTTGAGCATCTCTGCTGCACTCCGCAGCATAGAGAGAAAGCGCCTCACGCATGTGCAACATCACTTCAATGATGTGATTATCATTGAAGTGATGATCACAATCACAATTTTCACAAGTGGAGGTGCAAGATGATGGTTCAAATTCGCAGAGCACTAATTAACCCTGTTTATCTCAGCTACCCATAAATCTGTCCTATCTTGGGGTAATAATGCACATGCGCAAATCGATGCTACGTCACATAATGCAGCTTTCTTATAAATGCGTCCTACCTGTGAAAGTTTCGTTTCATTTGTTTTATGTCGTTGAAGATTATGGTAATCTTTATTTAATTTATTTTATACCTGGCTTTTATTGAGCTGCTGTATTACTTCATGTTTTTACTTTACATGACAGGCAGCTTAATGGCTTTAGATTGCTGTCAGAGAAGTCGTTACTACTGTTAACAAGTCATTATTTGGCAGTTAATCAGGACAAAATATGTTGTTTTTTGGGCTGTTTTCTCCTAATATTTTAAAGTATTTTAGTTTAATTACAATCTTTTTACTAAACCGTGCTAAGTAGATGTTGGTAGTAATACTATGTGACATTGAAGCTGTGTAATAGCGGTGTAATATTAGTGTATATTAATCATATCCTATCATTTCAGGAACACAGTGACCTGTGGAGTTCGGTGGACAAATTGCAGTTGCACTGCATTTGATAACAGACATACAACGTATTAATGCGCGATAAAAGAGTTGCAGTGATATGCATTTGTCTGCATTTAATTCCAATATTCAGATATTGTTCCAATGCTAAGCTAAGCATAACTCCTAAGCTTCCACTTCAGTCCCATCACTCAAATAATGTTTTCCAATATATTTAAAATTAGCACAACCTTAGAGGAACTTGTGACATACAAATCAAAATTTTAATGAGAGCAGACAAATTTTTCAGTTTGTCTTGTGAAGAAAAAGCAAAAAAAAAAAGACAAAAAAATCTTATCCGCCTCTTTCTAAGTAAACTTTCCTTCCCTTCTTCATCTCTCCCGGTGCATTGTTCTTCCACAGTTGGATTCTCTCCATCTCATCTCCTTTCCTCCACCTGCTCTGCTCTCACAGGGCGACCGGATGGACAGGGAGGCGATGAAGTGCCAGGTCCTGACCGTTTCTAACCACAGCTGCGAGAGTCTGACGGTGGTCGGAAACATCCTGGAGTGCACCGTTCCCACCCAGCTGCATGCCGCCACTGCCAAGGAGCTGCAGGTGGAGGTGAGACACGCTCATTCCCCTTCAAACGTTTACTTCCTGGTTCTCCTTTCACCTGCAACAGTCTGTAAACAAAACACGCTTTAATTAGGACAGCACTTTGTTTGCAGAAGCACTCCAGGCACCACAAAAAACACGTCCATGCCCTGAACGCATGTTTGCTTAATGAAACAGACACACTCACATCCTCCTTGCACAGGCTTGTTCCAGGTACTCTGCTGGGAGCGACACAGCCCGAGTGCACAGTGTTTGTGTATGTGGTGAATTATACCTGATCAGTATCGTGATCAGAGATAGTTTATGCTAAAATTTTATGTTGTCTGACAGGATTAAAAAAAACAAAAATCCACCTTTTATTCATTAACTTTTACAATATTAATAATGACCTATGTAATTTTTTGCCAATAGTGATTTTTTTCTTCTTTTTGCAAAATCATCTGTTAGACAATTATATTTATTTATTTATTTATTTATTTATTTTTAATCACCTTTGGCAGAAATATAACTGAAGCTGTTATTTTAGGAAAGTGATGATAGTCAATTACATTTTATTTTTATTTGGTTTAATGAATTGTCAATCCAAACAAGCTGAGAACAGAGTCCACATTATGCCATCACAAATCAAACAAATGAATGTAACTGACAAAAACTACTGATTGTGGCCCCTGTAATTGCATACAAAGCAATGAAATGAAACAATTGGAGTTAAATTCTCAATGATTCACCGACTATGGCCTCACTACACCTTCCTGATCGCTATGGACCTGAACTGTGCACCTAGTTGAGTGTAAACGTCTCAGAATTTTGATCTTGGTCTGCAAGATGAATCCACGCTGTGCTGCCTCACTGGACACTGGAATCAGAAGCATCAAAGTTTTGAAATCAGAAAATTTTTCTTCAGTTGAAGTGATCAGATGTTTACCAGACTCTCTAAATGAGTTTTCTTGTCCCTCAATTCTTCTTCTTCTTCTGTACCTGACAAGCTGTACAGCCTCTTTCCCGTAACTCTTCATACTGTTAGCACATTGAGGTCAGTCTCCAGGTCAGAGATGAGACAAGAGATTTTTTTTTATTTAGTTACTCCTGTATGTAAAAGTAAGAATGTCTGAGCATCTACACCATGTGGCCAAGTATACACTTCAAAAACAAAGTCTTTCCAGATGTTTTTGATATTTTTTGTCTAGTTTCTAGTGAACATTTTTTTCATACACTTGAAATAAGACAACACTGGCTTACAAGAAACTAAGCCAGTGTTGCTTAGAGAAACTTTCCGCAAGACATAGGAGGTGATGTTTTAACTCAATAATTCTTGAATGTTGATACAAAATGTTCATTCCACTGGCAGATTTTTCTTTCATTTATAACAAGACATTTTTAGATTGGATATTTGACTTTAAACAAACGCCTGTATCCTGCAGAGAAGTGTCTTGTAAGCCAGTTTAGTCTTAATTTAAGTTTGGAAAATTTTCTATGCAGTGTGTGAATTATAATCTGTCAAAATGATGGATGACCTTCAGGTTTATCCATCACCTTTCAAACAAAGTTAAAGACAGAGAATATTCTGTTAACCCTGCCCTTGCATAAAGCTTTTTAAAGGTTTTATCGGCTCTTGTGGCCTTTATTTGCTAGTGAAATGACAGTAAAATGGGTATTGAGAGAAGAGGGAAGACATGCGGCAGAAGTCACCAGGCTGGGAAACCTGCCACAGTTGTATGGAGAACTAAGGCCTCTATTGAGGGTAGTGCTTACTCCCTGCGCCACCACAGCACCCCATAAAGCATACATATTGTATATGCGTGGATATGTTTTCAATTCCTACATTTTCTTTAAACAGCAATGCTTTAGCTCAGTGCTATCTAGACCATCGCACAAATCCAGTTAATCCCACCTCAGTGACAACTCCAAAAAGAACCCAGTCCAGTCTCACTATGATCCTGAACATGTGAGATCATGACTGATACTGGCTGTCATGCAGGTGGATATGAGAAGAAAACCTCAATATCAATAAAGCCAGTCATAATAAACTTATGACTGGCTTTATTGATCTGTTTCTACCATCAGGTGTACAGAGAGAATTCATCATGGCTTCTTATCTCAGTGTCTGCTTCTGATGGACAAACATGCTGACTGGTCTGACTGGCGGAAATGATCAAACACATGCTGATAAAAAAAAGTGTGTTTTCAGTCCATATTATTATGTGTTTTATTTATCTTCTGTTTCCATTTATCTTTTACACTGGAAGAGCAGAAGTAACAGACACCATGTGTAACAGACACCATGTGTAACAGACACCATGTGTAACACTCACGATGTGTTTACAGTTAATACAACAGACAATAGGACCAGTGCTAGGTTTGGCTACTGGAGTAGAAAAAGTGTAAGTGTATTAATGACCACAGACCAGAAAATAAGTTTAAACTGCCAGCTTATCATTTGTTGAGAAAAGAAAAAACACAATATTACAAACAGTTGACAAACAATGACACAAAATCAAATTCAAAATAGTTTCCCTGTTTCTTCCAGAATAATTTATTTAATCCCTGTTTGAATTTTTAAACCTAAAGTTTTTGATTAAAGGACCCTATTTATTTAAACCTATGTTACATATCTATTTAAGTTAAAGTTCATACTGTTAATCTATTTAATTTACTGTTTGTTTGTTTTCAATCTTTTGAAATCTATTTTAGTTATTTAGAGTTCTTTTTAAGAAGTTAAGGGTTTTTAATTTCTTGTTTTAACTATTTCTAGTTTCTATTATAGCACAACAGACAATTTTACATTCCACACGCTAACAATGTATATTGAATGCAGTTCAAAAGAGGAAAGAAATAAAACACAACAGAAACAATCCAGTAAAAGATAGAATAACTTGTGCTTTCCACCAAAGTCTTTCTCTCTGATGATCCTAAAGGATTAAACCTGTTTCTCTGAATCCACTGTTTTGTTTTAGCAGGAAAAAATGGGCAGATCATACCAGTTTGGATGATTGAAATGTCCAGCAGAGAGCATATCTCCTACTAGACGACAGTTACAGGGCTCCTGGGTTACGGCTCGCCATCTTGTTTCTCGTTAGCAGAATCCACTTAAGCAATGGACCCAGAATTTTCCGGTCCAACTTACAGCAGAACTTTAAAAAGGCCTGGTTTAATAACCAACAAAGCATAACAAAAGTTCTTTTAACTCTGCTCTGTGCTGAATAAAGCAATGTACTCGCCAATTTGGCGGTTGAACATTGTGTGGGGGGAACATGCTTCACCCACAACAGCTCGTCCGTTACTTCCACGGGTTTTGATCATAAAACAACATACTTTAGCTTTCTGTTTCAATGAAATGAAATGATCTTACAAATAATATCCTTCACAGAAAATAAAATACACTTTTGACCGTAGGAATCCGGTTGGCTGGAGCTAGTCACCTGGCGACACATCAATGTGACCCTTCAGAATAAGAGATTTTTTCTCACACCTCACCGTTTTAACTGCTGACAAAATAAATCTGTTTCATACAGTTTCAACCCAAACAAAATATCATAACATAAAATATAGCATTTGTGATAGCTGTAATTATTATCTTTTATTTAAATATTTTTTTAACCTATTTTTAAAACCCATTTGTTCTCTATTTATTTCCTATTTATGCATTTCATAGCTATTTATTATGAAAAGGCTTTTATTTAGTGAAGGCTATTTTAACCTGGGCTACACTTGCAACAAATTAAAAGTAGCAACAAAACCATTTGTCCTTACTGAGCTCTACATAACCAACTTTGCAAAATCTGGGGGAAATCACCACATTCTCCATGTGCACCACATAATTTATGAGACTTCATAACTCCCGCGTCCTAATGCAGTCCTTCATTAATAAGAAGCTTGGTGAGAATCCGCTTCACAAAGTGAGGAGTGAACGGCGTTACTAACCAGCTGTCCATCTTGTCACTTGAATGTAAGTCAAGCAGCTTCTGAAAGGCACTCGCAGATTGGATATGTCATCAGGCGTGACTCAAAGGCTCTCTGCACTCATAGATTTTCTTCTTGATGGCGAAACAGAGACAAAACATGGAAAAAATCTATTGGAAGTTTAGGAACAGGGCTTTGAAGCAAGGAAGCAAAAAAAAAGATTTAGAACTATTCATGAAGGTGCAAAGAGACATCAAAATTTTAAAGCGTTGAAATGACAAGTAAGTACTCAACTTGCGACAAAAGTAGGGCCTGTATGGGGGAAACACAAAGATTTGAGAGAGAACAGAGAATATTTGAAAGAGAATGCAAGTATTACAAGTTTTGAGAACAAAGAAACAAAATTCTACTTTCAAACTGAAAAGTGTGCTCTCAACTTACAGCAGTAAAATTCTCCCAGAGGCCTGGACTTTAACACGTTTTGATGAATTAATTTAATAGATTTTAATGCACACCATTCCGGAACCATTGTTTTTTTTGTGTGTTTTTGATACATTCATACATTGCGGAAGTCATCTAACGTACAGACGACTTCCACAATCAACACCAATGAACAATAAAGCTGCTTCTTTTGGAACACCGGGGCTTAAGTTTTACTTTTGAAAAAATGTACATGATTTGAATCTGGAAAAGACCATTGTTGTGTTCAAGTTATACTATAAGGTTTTAGCCTATCAGTGAATCTATTCTAGCCTAAACTAACATCTCAGTGCTGAACATATAGCAGCACCACACATCTAAAACCTAATGCTAATGTTAAAGCTAACTAAAGAAGTATTATCTCTAAAAGGTTCCATGAAACACTGGAAAGCTGAAAATCCATAACAACACTTTGCATCAGTCTGATTTTTAATAATCTAAATAACTGATTAAAAACAATAAATACTTTTGTAGTTGAGATACTGTCTACTTATTGAATAATTTAGCAGCTAAAAGGGGATTTGAATTTAAAATTTTGCTCATTTTGTCAAAGTTTTCAATTAAAATGCAATTTTGATTTAGTTTTTATTACTAACCCTCCATTGAACTTGTCTTAAAATTTCAATTGATTCCTACCACTAAACATAAATAAATGTTTTTATGGTTATGAAAGGACTTGTATATAAATTAAATCCTAGAGGTCACCAGTTTTTTAAATATGGAAACATAATTGCTGCACTTTGACTTGCACACTTTTGTTCCCGATATACACACACTGTTCGGGGCTGGAATGCATCAAAAGTGACATAAATGCTTTAAAGACATGACAGCAGCTTGAGGTATAACTATTTTCAGCATTATTATTAGTTTTTCTCTTTTATGTAAACTAATGTAACTCCCAGCAGTCAATGTTATAAAATGTTCACCATGTACAGGCCAAGCCGAAATTGCTGGTCTTCAGACTCCTTTGAAGATAACATCCACCATCCGTCTCAAGACCAAACGTTATCAGACCGATCACTGTTGACTTCTGAACCGGCCTTCAGACGAAACTTCTTATCTCAGGCCAGGGTCAGCCAATATTCCGCTGCTGCACAACCTAACATCAGGGCTTGGCCGGCGAGGCTTCATTTACACACATCACAGCCTCTACAGGAGGAACTTTAATAATATTACAGATTTAATCTTTGCACAGACTCACACATTGCAATTATTTCCAATGTATGACTTTTTTTTTATAAAAAGTAATCTAATTCTGTAACACCTGTAAACCAAAAATATATGCTTATTCTTTTAGTAGGCTATTGCAGTTAGAATTTTCTTTTTCTTTCTTTTTTTTTTAGGTGAGAGTCCAAACCAGTTTTAAACTTATGCTATTATTTGAATAACATACATTTTTGCATTTCCTATTATTTGAAGTAATAGTAAAAGATGGATTTAGAAAAAAAATTTATATAGAACTTTATTGTGTCTTAAAAAGTTTGGTGTTTTTCTTTGTTTTTTTAATGGCCTAAGAAGATAATTAGAAGTTTGTAATTGTGTATTTGCTCATAAGTATGCCTGCATCACGTCCTGTCTGAATGCAAATACTGTAACCTCTCTGTGTTTCACTGAGGCCTCAGATACTTTTATGTAAAATGTCTCTGGAAAAATAACTGGCAGGCTAATGTGATCTGAAATCAACATGTAGGAGTTGGTCATGTTTGTCTCAGTTCGAAGTGGAGGAACCACAGAGCCAACACAAACAAACACGCTTTACAGCACGGCTCGTGCAAACTAAATATTTTTCATCTAGGACTGTTTTGTTTTTTTCTTTGTTTTCGGGGTTTTTTTTAACATTGATGGAAAAATCTGAATTCTATCTGTTGTTTTGGCAAACTGAAATTTGCACACCTGACCACTAGTTGCACACAGTACAGGTAATTAAATAGATCAGAAACAGATTCCCAGGAGATTGTCTGATCATCATCTCATACCTGGACACCGTAACGCAGAGGTCTTCAACAAGGGAGTCGTGACTGCTACTGGTCACAACTTCCCTTCTTACTAATTTGAAATATTTTGGGTTTTGTTCAAAGTTATATCTTTAAATATAGACCGTAGAATGCACTGTGAATATAAATTGACAAGAGGAGGCATAAAGTAATCTATTTCAGTGGTAATTCATCTATATAGTGAGCAAAATCTTATTTTGTGAAAAGTTCTATATTTTATGCAAAAAAATCCTTTTTTATGGCAGTGGCATTAAAAGGCCAACACTTTGGAATTTAGGCTTTTGTCAAATAAATTGTGAAATTATGAATCTCTTTATTATTTGTATTGAATACACCGCAATATGGTGTTTGTGTTTTGTGTATTTCTACTTAAATACTTTATTGTAAAATATATATTGTTGGGGCTCCTCCCTGCTCCGACTCTTATGCAATGGTGCAGTTGAATTTCCTCTTGTTGAGAATGCTTCTGGGCTCAGAAAACTCCTTGTTCAGAGAGCTTTGTAGGCCTTTGATGGCTTCAATTGGAAAAATGTTCCCTGATTTCAAAACTTTGCCTGGATTGGCGCTTGTCATTCCAGTTTCCAGTGAGGCAGCAGAGTTCAGATGTAGTGAAAGTAATTATTTGGAAACGGTATTTAAGTTATCTGTATGATTTCATTTGATATTCTCACAAACTGCGGAGGGGTCTTGAGTCATGCTGTTTCACAGGGCTCATTGGTAATAATAAAAAACACTATTGTTGAAAATGAACTAATATAAGTGTGTGTGTGTCACTTTAAGAGCTCAGGAAGCCATTTGAGTAATGTTTACTGTGATTGGTTCATTGTAATTTTAAGCTGCCGTTGTTGTAAGAGCACATGTTGAGTGTTAGATGAGCAGAAAGTTGACAAAATAATTGTTGGAAACCATTCAGAGCTGTTTGTTCAAGAGATTGGGAGTGTGTAAATGAATAAAAACACTCTCAGCTCTATGAAAGAAAGATTGGACCTGAAACTTTTCTTTAGATTTTAATCTTTAGTTGAGATTTAAAGGAAGTCAGGGTGTCTGCTGTTTTACAGTTTTCCTTTGCCAGATGCTGGTGGTGGTGGCTGGACCATTTAAAGAACTAACACTACCCACAAAGGGAGCACAACAACTATTGTTTGCTTTGTCAGCTGGGCAAAGCTGGCCTACAAGTTGTGCTACCCTGATGTCATTCTTGCAAGCAAATTAGTTATTTTGATTTCACCCCCCCCCTCCCACCCCCCAAAAAAAGAAAAAAATTATAACAATCTCCATTGACAACATGACTTGAGCTCTCTGGGAACAAAGCCTGATTGTATTAATTACAGTATTTTAGCATACACTTCCTTCACTCCTGACACTCCAAATCCCTTCCCATTGTTCAGTGGCGCCAAGCGGACTCCATCAGGCATCTGGGCAAGGTGACACTGGCGCAGGAGCAGGACTACACAGGCCTCATCGTAGGCTGTGTGTGTGTCAGCCTACTGCTGCTCTTTCTGGGATCACTGCTGATGTGGAAGAGGAACAAGCATATCGATGGTAAGAGCAAGAGACACAGAATCCTACCATTACAAATAAATTTTATACCATCTTTCATTCATAACAGAAAACTGGACATGTCTTTTCCTTGAAATATGTAGCCAGCTTTTCATAAAACCGGCTATCAACGCCACATTGTTTAAAAAAATAATATTGTACAAATGGGATCAGTTTCAGAAGGTTTTCATCCACCAAGAACAACCTTGTAGGTTTGGGATTTGTTAAACATCCCAAACCTACAGGGGGCAGTGTAGTGCAAAATCAATCAATCAATCAAATTTTATTTGTATAGCACATTTCAGCAGGAAGGCATTTCAAAGTGCTTTATATCATAAACACAAAAACACAGTCATGCAACATAATAAAAAATACATTGTTCCATCATTACATTTTTAATTGATTATATTTCAAATATAATTCTAATCAGGTGTGTTTTTAGTTGAGATTTAAAGGAAGTCAGGGTTTCTGCTGTTTTACAGTTTTCTGGAAGTTTGCTCCAGATTTTTGGTGCATAGATGCTGAAAGCTGCTTCACCTCTTTTGGTTCTGGTTCTGGTTCTGGGGATGCAGAGCAGACCAAAACCAGAACCTAAGGTTGCTACAACAACAGCAGATCTTTGATGTATTGTGGTGCTAAATCGTTCAGTGATTTATAAACTGACAACAGTATTTTAACATCTATTCTTAGAACTACAGGGAGCCAGTGGATCTTTGTCACATATATATATATATATATATATATATATATATATATATATATATATATATATATATATATATATATATATATATATATATATATATATATATATAGCGGCAGCACACCTCAAACAAAACCGTTTTAGATATAGAGGAAACTTTCGCTGTCCTAACAAGATAGATCATCTCTGGGGGAAAGAATCGGTCTCCTCAGCTCCGTCAGAACCAATCAGAACCAGCATTAATCAGCTGATAGCCAAGCTATCAGGAAGTTTTGATATCGTAACTCAGGACTGTTTATTTTGATGCAACCTGCATTCGACTTTGAATGAATGTTTTATTACTTGGTATTATTTGATAGAAGCAGATTTATTTGACTAATAGTTTATGGAACTGAGAGCCTTACTGTGAAATATTATTTTACTGATTGCAGGTTTTTCAGTTGTCCTTTTGACTGAATAGTTGCTGTATTGGGCCTACAAGAATTTTGCATGTTTATGTCTATTTTAGGTGAAGTTATTGCCAGATAATAGTTTCTGCATTTTAATTATGAATTTGTATTTTGTCACTTGCACTAAGTTGTAGGTTTACTTAGTTTTCTAAATACAACAGAGTTAGACAGTTCCATTAAAGAAATATTTTTCTTTCTTTTTTTTCTGCTTGAATTTCTGTACTTATAGACAGAAATTCTATATAAATTCTATATATTAAATTATGTAATATAATTTATATAATATAATTATATTAGAATTATACTAAATTCTAAAATGATTCTATTTATATAGACAGAAATGTATGACAATTTTCTTTGACCTGAAGTTCCGAGTCATTTTTTCTAACCTGTGTGCATGTGTGTCTGCTGACTTTGTTTTGCCTGGTGGGTTTAGTGGAATGTCTTTTGTGGGATGTTCTGGTGGAAACACTTGCTTTTTCTCACTGATTTGTCTCTCTCTTTTTCTTCCCCTATGTTACCTCCTCTTTCTTCATCCTTGTTCTCTTCCATCTCCTTTCTCACCTTTCTTTCTGTCTCTGCAACATTTATTTCCAGATCTGTCTGAGGTGTGGTATGATGGCCGGGGTCACATCCAGCATCTGGACAGGCTGGCTAATGCAAGGAGCGTCAGCCCCACTAACGAAATGGTCTCCCACGAATCAGTCGACTATAGAACAACCCTGCTGGAGGGTAAGCCCCTCCCCTTTTCTTCTTCTTCACGTGACTTCACTTCACCTCCCTCCTCCTATGTGCCTGCTCCCTTACCTGTGGGCCTCAGGGGTTAGCCGCGCATGCCTTGTTGTGCACGTTTCACACTAACAACAGCTTGCATCATTGCATCAGTTTAAGGTAAAATTGATGCATTTCTAACTTCGATTAAAAAGAATGTTCACATAAGATGTTTTCTTCAATATTAAATGGGCAGTAATATGTAAAATCAACTTTTTTGAGGTTTACATCATGGCGTAAACTTATTCCTTCACAACTCCCCTGCTCAGCTCCTCACACTAGCCTTCTTAGTACCCTGCTGAGCTCATTTTAAAGGGTTAATAGAGGAGCCGTGTTGTGATGACTTCCTGAAGGTGGAGTTTGAGAAAGAACTGGCGTTTTTAAAGAGACAGTGACCCAATTTTAAGGTGTTGAATTACTTGTTTAATTCATATACAGCTCTGGAAAAAATTGAGACCACTTAAAAGTATCAGATCTCTGATTTTACTTGAAATATGATATCCAGTATGTTTGAGTAAAATTAATTTTCTGAGCAGGGCTTTATTCCATGAACTACTGAACTACTGTCAAAGAAATTCCAAGCAAAAATTGTATATATAAAAAAAAATATCCTTCTCTCCCACCGCGGGTGGTTCTTATCCTCTGAACTCGGGTCCTCTACCAGAGGCCTGGGAGCTTGAGGGTCCTGCAGTATCTTGGCTGTGCCAAGGACTGCTGCACATTTCTGGACTGAGATGTCTGATGTTGTTCCTGGGATCTGTTGTAGCCACTGCTCCAGTTTGGGGGTTACTGCCCCGAGGGCCCCGATGACCACTGGCACCACTGTGGTCTTCACCTTCCAGGCCCTCTCCAGTTCCTCCCTGAGGCCCTGGTATTTCTCCAGTTTCTCCTTTTTCCTGATGTTGCAGTCACTTGTTATTGCTACATCTACCACAACGGCTTTCCTCTGTTGTTTATCCACTACGACAATGTCTGGTTGGTTCGCCATTACCATTCTGTCTGTCTGGATCTGGAAGTCCCACAGGATCTTAGCTCTGGCGTTCTCCACCACCTTTGGGGTGTTTCCCACTTTGATCTCGAGGTTTCCAGTCCATATTCTGCACAGATGTTTCTGTACACTATGCCTGCCACTTGGTTATGTTGTTCCATGTACGCTTTCCCTGCCAGCATCTTGCACCCTGCTGTTATGTGCTGGACTGTCTTGCACAACCTATATATATATATATATATATATATATATATATATATATATATATATATATATATATATATATATATATATATATATATATATATATATATATATATATAGTTAGGGCCAGAAATATTTGGACAGTGACACAAGTTTTGTTATTTTAGCTGTTGACAAAAATATGTTCAGAAATACAATTTATATATAATATGGGCTGAAAGTGAACACTCCCAGCTGCAATATGAGAGTTTCCACATCCAAATAGGAGAAAGGGTTTAGGAATCATAGCTCTGTAATGCATAGCCTCCTCTTTTTCAAGGGACCAAAAGTAATTGGACAATGGACTCTAAAGGCTGCAAGTAACTCAAAAGGCCTTTCCCTCGTTAACCTGTAATCAAGTAAGTAGTTAAAAGGTCTGGGGTTGTTTCCAGGTGTGTGGTTTTGCATTTGGAAGCTGTTACTGTGACCAGACAACATGCGGTCAAAGGAGCTCTCAATTGAGGTGAAGCAGAACATCCTGAGACTGAAAAAAAAGAAAAAATCCATCACAGAGATAGCAGACATGCTTGGAGTAGCAAAATCAACAGTCGGGTACATTCTGAGGAAAAAGGAATTGACTGGTGAGCTTGGGAACTCAAAGGCCTGGCGTCCACGGAAGACAACGGTGGTGGATGATCGCCCGCATACTTTCTTTGGTGAAGAAGAACCCGTTTCACAACATCAACTGAGGTCCAGAACACTCTCAGGGAAGTAGGTGTATCTGTCTCTAAGTCAACAGTAAAGAGAAGACTCCATGAAAGCAAATACAAAGGGTTCACATGTAGATGCAAACCATTCATCAATTCCAAAAATAGACAGGCCAGAGTTAAATTTGCCCAAAATCACCTCAAGAAGCCAGCCCAGTTCTGGAAAAGTATTCTATGGACAGATGAGACAAAGATCAACCTGTACCAGAATGATGGGAAGAAAAAAGTTTGAGAAGAAAGGGAATGGCACATGATCCAAGGCACACCACATCCTCTGTAAAACATGGTGGAGGCAACGTGATGGCATGGGCATGCATGGCTTTCAATAGCACTGGGTGACTTGTGTTTATTGATGACATAACAGCAGACAAGAGTAGCCGGATGAATTCTGAAGTGTACCGGGATATACTGTCAGCCCAGATTCAGCCAAATGCTGCAAAGTTGATTGGACAGCGCTTCACAGTACAGATGGATAATGACCCCAAGCATACAGCCAAAGCTACCCAGGAGTTCATGAGAGCAAAAGGTGGAATATTCTGCAATGGCCAAATCAATCACCAGATCTTAACCCAATTGAGCATGCATTTCACTTGCTCAAATCCAGACTTCAGACGGAAAGACCCACTAACAAGCAAGACCTGAAGGCTGCGGCTGTAAAGGCCTGGCAAAGCATTAAGAAGGAGGAAACCCAGCGTTTGGTGATGTCCATGGGTTCCAGACTTAAGCAGTGATTGCCTCCAAAGGATTCGCAACAAAATATTGAGAAAAAACTTTTTTGTTTGGGTTATGTTTATATGTCCAATTACTTTTGAGCTCCTAAAATGTGGAGTGTTTGTAAGCAAATGTGTACAATTCCTACATTTTCTATCAGATATTTTTGTTCAACCCTTTAAATTAAACGTTACAATCTGCACTTGAATTCTGTTGTAGAGGTTTCATTTCAAATCCAATGCAGTGGCATGCAGAGCCCAACTCACAAATATTGTGTTACTGTCCAAATATTTCTGGCCCTAACTGTATGATCTACAACTCAGCATCAGTGATCCTTGAGATGCTTGGCTATAAGAGCAACCATGAGGCCCAATACCCAGCATGGAAAAGACAGAGGCTAAAATCAAGGTAACAAGGAGGGAAGTGAGCCAACTATCAGAGGGTGCAATGAAAAGACCAATACCCCGAAAGTACAGGCAGATGCCCATACCTGAAGCACTCGAAACTGCTAAACAGAGGCTCCAAGCCTTGGCCAGCCGCCTAAAGAGATACACAAGAGAGAATGAAGCCAGAAGGATTAACCGGCTCTTCTCCACTCAACCAGCTAAGGTGTACTCTCAATGGCAGGGTAATAACAACAGAGCAGACCCACCAAGGCTGGAGACGGAACAATACTGGAAAGGCATATGGGAAAGGGAGGCGTCCCACAACAGCAATGCACAGTGGCTGATCTCTCTACGAGAGGACCACAGCAACCTCCCTGAGCAAGCCCTGGTAACCATCACTGCGACAGATGTTCAAGAAAGAGTCTGAGCTATAAAAAACTGGACAGCACCAGGGCCAAACATGATCCATGCCTAGTGGCTAAAGAAACTCATTGCTCTCCATGAGGGACTGGCAGCCCAAATGAACCAGCTGCTACAAAGTGGGACTCACCCTGAATGGTTAACTGCAGGGCAGACAATCCTAATCCAGAAGGACCCATCAAAGGGTCCAGTCCCACCCAACTACCGACCAATAACCTGCCTCTACACAACCTGGAAGCTCATGTCAGGCATCATAGCAGCCAAGATGAGCAAACACATGGATAAACACATGAGCACGGCACAGAAGGGTATCAGTGTAAATACCAGAGGAGCCAAACACCAACTCCTCGTAGACCGCACAGTTGCCAGAGACTGCAAAACCCGACACACCAACCTGTGCATGGCTTGGATTGATTACAAGAAAGCCTATGACTCAATGCCCCATACTTGGATCATTGAATGCCTAGAGATGTATAACATCAACAGGACTCTGAGAGCCTTCATTGCAAACTCGATGAGGCTGTGGAAAACCACCCTTGAAGCCAAATGCAAACCACTTGCACAAGTGTCCATCAAATGTGGCATATACCAAGGAGATGCTCTGTCCCCGCTACTGTTCTGCATAGGCCTGAACCCCCTCAGCCATATTATCAACAAGACTGGCTACGGATACCGACTCAAGAATGGGGCCAATATCAGTAACTTTCTCTACATGATGACATCAAGCTGTACGGCAAGAGTGAGCGAGACATCGACTCACTGATCCACACCACCAGGATCTACAGCAAGGACATTGGATGTCATTCGGACTAGAGAAGTGTGGTCGGCTGGTCACAAAGAGGGCGAAGGTCATCCGCACAGAAGGGGTCTCACTCCCAGAAGGAACAATAGCAGACATAGAGGACAGTTACAAGTATCTAGGTATACCACAAGCAAATGGTAACCTCGATGAGGTCACAAGGAAAAGAGCCACAGCTAAATACCTCCAACGAATAAGGCAAGTCCTGAGAAGCCAGCTCAATGGCAAGAACAAAATCCGTGCGATAAACAGCTATGCCCTGCCAGTAATCAGATACCCTGCAGGAATAATTAGCTGGCCAAAGGAGGAGATAAAAGCCACAGATATTAAAACTAGAAAACTACTAACAATGCATGGAGGGTTCCACCCCAAATCCAGCACCCTGAGACTGTACACGAGCCGCAAGGAAGGAGGCAGAGGACTAGTGAGTGTGAGAACCACTGTCCAGGACGAAACACCTAAGATCCATAGATACATCAGGGACAAAGCCTCAACAGACAATGTGCTCAGTGAATGTCTCAGACAACAGGGAACGGAGGTTGAGGTGCCAGAGATACCATCATGGGAGGACAAGCCCCTACATGGGATGTACCACCAGCAAATAACCCAAGTGGCTGATATCAGTAAATTCTATCAATGGCTGGAAAAAGCTGGACTCAAGGACAGCACAGAGGCCCTCATCCTGGCTGCACAGGAACAGGCCCTAAACACCAGAGCAATAGAGGCCCAGATCTACCACACCAGACAAGACGGTGGATGAATGGATGAATATCTTGACAAAGTAGACCAAAGCAGGGCTGTTTGGCAGTAATACCAACCACCATGGTTGACTTCATTGTCAAGCATGGTGACGATAATATGTGAGTTTCACAGAATCCCATTGCTGTCCTTGATCAACCAACAAACTGCTGTTGTTTCAAAAACTAGAAAACACACCAGACCAATCACAAAGCGCAACACAACTCATCATTAGAATAGAGACAGAAAAGATTAACCTAAATAATAAATTCTGAGAAACTACAGATTAAGTATTTGGAAACTGCAAACTCAGTATAGATATAAAGTCTAACAAAACATGATGCACATCTTCTCATCTTGCATGCGTCAATAATCTTTGATGTGGTCTGTGGTGCCTCTTGTGGGTTCTGTTCTGGTCCTGAGGGGCACTGCGGGGCTCCTGGTATTTTGATCCCCTGGATCATAGCTGAAGCAATGTCTGTGCTGGCCTTGGCTCTGGAGAGGCTGCGTTCACTAATGAGTTAATGTTTGCCTTCAGGGAAAGTTAGCATTCAGGACATTTGACCTCGCTCTCTTGTTTCAACTCTGGATCTTGGTCTGGCTTTTCTGGAGAAATCCGCATTTATTACCCCTCTGTTAACAGTCTCTTGTTCCTTCGAGCTCCGTATCTGTGTCTGTGTAGCTGTCCCTCTCCGATCACGTAGCACACCTTGACATGCGGAGGTCAAGGTGTTGTGACATAGCAGCAGACCTCTGACCCCCCTTCTTCTCTCTTTTTGTTTCTGCCTCTCCAGATCAGGGTGTTGACAGGCCTGAGACATGTCGGGCAGCTCCTCCTATCTACAGAGCCGATGGGGAGCTGCTGTCTCCCAGACTGGGAACACTGGGAGGGGGGCTGGGCCTGGGCATGGAAGGCGACCTGGTGTCCCCCTTGTTGATGGCTCCAGTTCACATCGATCCGTCCTGTCTCCACCCGGACCTGCTGACTGAGGTGCAGCATGTGGTGATTGCAAGGGAGCAACTGCTGCTTCACGTCAACCAGATCATCGGCAGAGGTCAGTGGTCAGCTGTCAGAATGTCAGGTTTTGGTCACAGGCTTACATAAAAAATATTTCATCTAAATCAGGTTGTCAAATGATATCTAGAGTCAGTCGTTCCTATGCTACAAAGTAGGTCCTTTGATTTCTCAACAAGCCCTCATCACCTCTCCCCTCTTCCACCAATGCTTGGAAGTTTGATGTCTCTGCCAGCATGTAGTGTTTCAACATGGATATGTTGAAACACTACAGACATCTCTTCTTTGATCTTATATTTCCAAATAATATTGTTCTGGAAGTCTTGTGCTTTTATACTATATTTATATGCAAGAGGATTTCTGCTGGTGATTCTTACAGTCTCATGAAGAAGGTAAGCATTTCCATTTCACGTATTTCTTCTACCATGCCTGACCAGTCACATAACGTTGGAGGACTCCCACTAAGCCATTTTCTTGTTATTGCTTTCTTTCCGGCTATCAGTAATATTTTCAGAAGGTTCTTATCCTGAGTGTTGAGTTCATTTGGTAAATTACTTAAATATATACTTTTGAAACTGTGCTGAATTTCAAAACCAAGAATTATTTCTTTGGTTAATTTCAGCCAATAGGAACAGCCCCAGAAAATATGAAAGTGGTTAGCCATCACATTGTTACATTGTCTCCAACAATGCCCAGATTCAGCTCTGCCGGTCAGAGAAAAAGTTCTTTTAGGGGTTATGAAAAACCTAACAATATTCTTCCATGAAAATTTTCTCCAGTGACCTGAGCAAGTGGTGGTAGAGTTTGTTTGGCCTATGTTGAGCCACTCATCCTCCATCAGTGTTATTTTTGCCTCCTTTTCCCATGCATTTTTAACAAATAATGTAGACGTTTTTATTATTTTCTAAGCACATGTATAGTCTGGACAGCTTCTTATAAGATTTACCTTTGTAAGCATCGATAAAGATGTTGATGAGGTCCTGATCATGTTATAGTTCTTATTAAAGGGTTTGCAGTTGCAGTTGTGGTGCTCTGTAATAATTTTCCAAACATGGGAGTGACATTCCTCCTTTATCTCCTGGTAACTGTAATGTTTTATAACGTATCCTTGGTTTCTTGTTCTGCCATATAAACCTGGAGATGATCCGGTTCCACTCATTAAACTGCTTGTAAGGAATTTCTATTGGTAAAGATTAAAAAAGGAACAGCAATTGAGGGAAGATAATCATTTTTATTATTTCTATTCGGTTGTACAAATCAAGCATCAGGGGGGCCCATTTGTCCAGGTTATTTTTAACTTTATTAGTCATAGCACCATAATTTGCTTTGTATCTTTTGTTTACATTTTTAGTATTATTAATACCTAAATATTTTATGGTTCTTGTTTTCCAATTAAATTTGAACTGATTACATGTATCCTCTCGGGGTGAGTAGTTAAAGTTTTTCCAATATTTAATTTATAACCTGAGTGGAGTCCAAATTGGTGGAGGCAGGACATGAGGTTAGGCAGACTGCCATTCGGGTCAGATAAGGTCACCAGGACATCATCAGCATATAGACATGTTTTGTACTCTCTGCCCTTAAATATAATTCCTTTAATTTCTGGGTCTTCCCTAATTTTTTGAGCAAGTGGCTCTATAAAAAGTGCAAAGAGAATTGGGCTCAGAGGACATCCTTGCCTACATCCTCGTTCTAACGGGATTGTGCCTGAAAGGCCACCATTTATTTTGATCCGGGCTACTGGCGAGCTATATAGTGATTTTAGACAACTTATGATTGTATTATTAAAGCCAAACCATTGTAGAACTAAATATAAATATTCCCATCGTACAGAATCAAAGGCTTTTTCAGCATCGAAACTGAATGTTAAAGACTTTTGATTATTTCTGCGCATAATGTCGAACAGGTGTAACTCTCGCTTCACATTATCCTTTGTACATCTATTTTTAATAAATCCTGTCTGGTCTGTATCAATCAGTTCAGGGATAATATTTTCTAATCTATTGACAATTATTGAAGTGAATATTTTATAGTCAATGTTCAAGACCGAAATGGGCCTGTGTGAGCTACACTCACTTTTATCCTTTCCTGATTTTGGTATCACGGATATTATCGCTTGTTTCCAGGATGGTGGAATCTCACCTCCTTTAAGCTCATAAGAAAAAGTTTTTCCACTGCGATGAGGTAACCGAATCAAGATTTATGTAATTTTGAAAAAGTGCAGTGGAAACACGAGTCACATGATCAACAGAAGGATGTTAACTACTGGTGAAAACGACAAAAAAGATGGCAGGAAGTGGTAGGAAGATGTTGGATTGGTTTTGGGGGGGTTTTCTCGCAGCATTACAAGGTTCAGAGAAAATTGTTTGATTCCAATATGTTGAATCCATAGGTCCTCTGTAAAATTGCTGGCTATAATTTCCCCAAAACTCTGCATACTTACTCGCTCCCAAGTATGCGGGGCTTGTTGCCTCAACATCTGAAATAGAAGCCAACGTCTCCTCTGAGTGGCTGATAGATGATGAGCGCCATGACTGAATTATGAATATATTTCATGGAACTGATTACACACATGTCAATTTTTAATGATTTATCACGTGAGTTGAATGCACCTATTCACATGTGTGATTTTGATATTTTTATTATTATTAAATGAAAACATTGCAATTGCACATCAGTAGAATATCAACAATAATTTTATGACTGTTAGTGCTTCACTCAATAATAGAATTCACACTGAAGAATGCTGCTGTTAGCACAAACCATTAGCAATTAGCTGATTCCCATGACTTGATGATCCCTTTATCATCGGTACCTTCTGCAGTAAATCCAACCTGATTCCATAACTTGATAAATAATTACAACAGATAACAGCTGAGAGTTAATCCACCCTTCATGCTTGTGTGCTTTTACTGTATGAGATTTATGTTAAAGTGCTTGCTGTATAAAACTTGAAGCTTGACATGCAGACACCAGATAAGCCTGTTTTACCAGGTAGGCGGGTGAGCCGACATATCAAATGTAGCATCAAACTGAGAAAGACCCTTAACACCGTAATGTTCCAGAAAAGCGGCATGTTTGCCCCCCTCGTATGAATTTATCCCCTGAAGCCTGGATTTGGTGGCTTCAAAGTGGTGTAGGATGATTTGTTCTCAGCTAATGTTCCCAGGGTCCATTGTGGAGAGCCGTAACCCAACACTGCCAGCCATCTGCGGGGACGTGATAGCAGAGCGCCGCGCTCATTTCGGTCCTGCACCCTTCTCAGGCTGGACCGAGGCCCCTCATCTTAACTAGGAGATATAGTTCAATAAGACACACAATAACTCAGAGGGGCTTGACGCTGGTTATTAGGCTGTGTGGGATATTAATGAATAAAGCCTCAGATTGGATTACTTAGAAGGGGCTGATTTATTGCGGTAGCAACTCAAGAAAGTTTGCTGTTTAGAATGAAACACTTTTTTTTATGGATCAGAGGGATTATTGTTACACAATTTGGAGAGTGGAGAAGAGGAGGGCTACAATTCAGTTAAATTATTTCATCGAGATCAACATGTAAAACAACGTTGGATGTTTTGTACAAAGCTTTCCCAGCCACAAAATTTGCAAACCCAGACCATTATTAATAGACAGCAAAGTTACAACTAAAGATCCTTGTCACACACACAAGCTGTCTTCCCAATGACCATAAAAATGCCCGATTAAAAATTTAGAAACGAAATTAGCTTCATGGAAACATACCAATTTATAAAAAAATTGTTTTGATCAAATATTCTGCCATTAGAATGAGGTGGGGATTTTTTTGGGCGTATCAAAATTGATTTATTTGGCAAAACTGCAATGAAAACACTTTTATTTGTGTCACACGATCAACCCATTTATGATTGAAACACAGCTACTACTGACACAAATTCTGACTATAAATAGAAAAAACATGAAAATACATATTAGAGAAAACTAATTCTTAACCACAAAATAGGTTCTTAAAGGTAAGCAGCTAATTTTAGTTAGTGGATGTGTGAGCTCATCTTTTCTAGGTGTTCCATTGGTGTTTGTGTGACAACAATGCCTCCTTCACATTATATCGTACGTGAAGTTCCTCGTATATAAATGACAAGGAACTTCACAAGACGAGATGTTTTTAGACTTGTCTAGGCTAAAAACATCTCAGCACTCACAGGTTTGAACAAGAGTGTTTAAACTATTGATGCTGACTGATTCTGACTAATCTACATCATGTTGGAACATGCAGGACACTTTGGCTGTGTTTTCCATGGAACGTTGCTGGAGCCGGATGGGCAGAAACAGCATTGTGCTATCAAGTCGCTAAACCGTGAGTAAAAGCTTTGTTAGCATTTGTTTCTTTGTCAGGTTAGGGGAATGATGAAACAAGCCATGCAGAGCAGAGGTAAGGGTTTTAGGAATTCCTGGAAGGTCGGGCCGTGGGGAGGATTAGGTTTATCTGTAGCATTTTTTGCAGGTAAATCCTTCTTGTGATATGCATAAACCTTATCCTGTATGTAGATAATAAATGCATATCCTGAGAAATCTCTGATCTCCAAAACTGATACAAACTTTTGAAATGCAAAACCAGCCAATACTTTGATTATTGAGTCATACATGTTGGTGGGAGATTAATGATGTGGGCTTGTTTGTGCAGCTCTATGTTCCCGAGCCCACAGCAGCCATGTTGGTGACTGTGTATAACCACACTATTTCAGAATATTACATATATATCAATCCAATGCAGACAAATAACTTTGATTTGTTCAGTGCAGTTAGGAGTAGAACAGTCATTGTAAAATAAATGATAAAAAATTGACAACAACAGGTTGGCCATATCAAAATTGGTCAAACACAAAAAAAAATCAACCGCACGTGTTGACCTGTTTTGTTTTGTTTTTCAAATGGTTCAGGAAGTGTAGTTAGTAATTGTAAATGTAATGTAAAATAAATACCGTATTTTCACGACCATAAGGCACACCGTACTAAAAGGCGCAGTCTCAGTTATGTGTGTCATTACTGTATTTAACACCCATACGGCGCACCTGATTATAGGATGCGGGTTTTATATACAATCCATGCCCACACTTCCCCCTTTAACGTTCTCATGGTGTTCTCTACTATGTCCGCCTTACAACAACAACACACACAGGGCGCACTGCATGATAGGTTGTGCCATCAGGTTGTCAGATGTCCATTTTCTGTTTTTCTTTTGTTTTTTTTACATTAGCTTATCCAGTCATTTCAAATCCTAAAATGTGTGTCAATAGGAAACAATGTTATACTATTCAGTATTAACTGTATACAATTTAGTTTGAACAGAGACTGTGTGAAACTGCTTTGATTGACGCTGCCGTCTGCAGCAAACCACCAGAACAGCTGCATTTCTCTAGAGCTCTGCCAAGATGGACAAGGATTGTTTGGATTTTGTTGTCAGATCTGCAGCAACATCAGATGTTATGTTTCTGCTTTCTAAGTTCTATAGTTGTTTGAAAAAATAATCCCTCCATCGTTGATCCACCAACATTTAGAATGCAGTGACTTTTTTTTACAGTGTCTCAGACATAATTCTTTCACCTAGAGGAAAAGAGAAGTTTTAGCCAAAATAATGTGATATAAACTTGCTTTAAAAAAATCCAGGCTAACCCTTTTAGTCAGTTCTGGTCAAATGTAATTATTTATGTTTATTATATTTCTCAATAGATTTTACATGATTACCTGTAAAATCTATTATAAATGGAAATGGTTTTTGAGAGCTAAAGTTATAAACATTAATTTGGGATGTAAAACAGATTAGGGCATTTAGCCTGATAGAATTGGAAAAGAAGATCATTAGTTTTTTTGTACAGTGCTGGGTTTAGTCCTAATAATTAGTTGCTTCTGATGACTGATGCATCCTTGGTTACAACAGAAACTACTCTGTGCTCCGTGCTCTTGTCTAAACACGCACGGCTCATCTGTCTACACTGTACTACATCCTTACTGTATGATATCACTGCGCCCACACTGAGATTACGGCTCTTTTCCCATCATAGCCCACTGCCCCTTTCAGCTCGGCCTAATGGTGATGAATGAGCATCCAGTGGTGAGGACCACATTAGGGTCTCGGCTAATCTTGTAACCTGTCAGTTGGAGCAGGCAGATTGATGCTGAAACAATGTGGAGGAATCACCCATCTACTCAGAGGAAGCCTCATGCTACGGGGGGCTCAGACTGCCTTGATCTGGTCTGTGGGGATTTAAACCTTCTTTTCTTCATTTTGCCACCAGTCAATGCAATTTTTGGCTTTTATTTCTTTTAAATTCTCAAGAGACTGCTTTGATCATAAGCTAGTGCTTTGTGATAATTAAAGTGAATAGGTAAATAGGTAAGACCGATTTAGTAAATATGTTACTTGTGCAGCTTTGCCAGCTCATCTCTATCTGTCATTGAAGTCTGAAACTTAGGTGAAGCTAATCATAGAACAGAATTAGAATTCAACTTTATTGCCATTGCACTGTCACATGTACAATGCAACAAAATCGGTCGGGAGAAGTGGGCCGCCTCCGGTGTTCTGGAGATCTCTGGCATAAGTCTAAGATTGCCGATAAAAGTGTTAGGATTGTAGCTCCAAAGGTCCAAAACTTCTTGTCTGCTATAGCACAGCAATGTGGCGCAGTTCTTGGAAAAAAAAGTCCGGCGAGAAATAGATAAAAAACCACTAAATAGCATTTAGTGTCTCTCTGGAGAGACACTGAGCCTCGCGTTGTTCACGCGCCGCCATCTTGACATCTGCCTTAAAAGCCTCCACTTCTACCCAGAGTTCAGCAGAGTCGAACAGGTTGGTTCCCAGAAACAGGGACGCATGGAGAGAATTGCCAGTGCAACCCTGCATTGCCAATGGGTGATGGAGTCGTTTCTTATCTCTATTCTTGTCTTTATTACCCAACGGTGACCTTCCTACTGATGTTAAAACTAGAATTGCTTTATATTTTCAACTCCAGTCTGATCAGTTATAGTCATGGAAAAAGAAATAACACTTTTTCAATTCTACTGTAATATGTATCCAATGTTGACAACTATTCACTCACCAATCCAAATAATTGACGCTGGACAGCTGTGGTGATGTGGAAATATTTATTATATGTGGTTATGTTTATTCAGTTAAAAATGTTAACTAAGAAAAAATTCACCTCCAAATCATAGTGCAGCAGATAGAGCAGCTGCTCCTGTCGACTTTTATCAAACACCTTTTCTTTTTTCTTTTTTTTGTCTTTTATCCCTTAAAATGAGTCCATAAACTATCACCACTCCTCCGACATCATCATCGTGTTTGATTATTCTGAATTCACATTTGGGATATTGGGGTTTTACTGGATTTTCTTCTGGAATGGGGATGTTCATGAGTGGAATCGGTTCTTGTGGCGTGTTGCTCCTGCCGTGTGGCTGGACACACGAACCGATCGAACCTGTTGGACTTTTATCGGCTCCTTAAATGGTGCCGAGTGAACCAGACGCACAAGCTCTACTCCTCTCCTCTCGTCTCGACCACTGCACCTAACGCTCTGACTCCGGTCACCATGGTAACATTTATATATATATCCCTTCAAAATAAGATACAGATGCGCCACAAACGAACATTTTACTTTGGTGAAAATTTTAACTCACGATAACGACTAATGGGAGCCCTGAGCTTGTTTCTCCCATCTGGGAGTGATGAGAGACAAAGACACCCGAAGTGTTGCTGATGCTCAGGGAGCTTCTTGGTCTCTACGTGGAGAAGCAGTTTGAAGCTTCATTGCTTCATTAACATCCATCCGGTCACCATATCATGCAGAGTGAGCTTGGAATGTGGGAATACCTACCGGGATGAATCCATTCTCCTGTCTTTTCTCTGGGCCAAAGAAACTTTCCAAAGAATCTGATCTGATTCTGACTCATTTTGCTGCTTGTGGCTCAATGTTGGCGGCAAGACATAACCGAGAGAATCCAGTTAAAGGATTTTCAAAATAAAAGATCCTCCAGACTCACATAATACATATCATGGAAATATATTTCATTATTTCTTGCGTGCCCCAGAACCAATTGGTCCACGGATCTGTACTGGTCCGCGGCCCGAGGGTTGGGGACCACTTTTATAAGGAAGTGAATCTTTCGACGGGATGCATCTGCATCTTTTACGGTACAGTGTCAATATGGAGCCTCAAAGCAAACAAAAGGTTTTGTAGTTTGGGACCATTTTGATCTTACATCAGAAAATAAAGTATTTGTTATCACTTCATTGTTGTTTCATCCGGTTCTTTTAAGTTTCTACTTGATCTATCTTGAATCCAAATTCAGCTGAAATTGAATTTTAGTTTACTTTTATATTATATTCTGCAGTTTAAGTGTTGCATATGTTTGACAGAAATGTCTTATTTAAATAAATCCACCTCCTCTATCCTGAGGCATCATAGGGACAGGCATCAGAATGAATCCCAGATACACCGAAATAAACCTAGATCAACTCAGGTGTTCTACAAATTACTCAGTTGCTTTTCATGAATTATTTCATATAAATGTATTTACTTCTTTTTTTTTACAGCAGGAGAAGTTGTGTCAAAAAAGCATATCAGACTAAATTTCAAAATTTTGAAAAAACTTTTTAAAAAACCCAGTCCACAAGCATCCTCATTCCAAATACATTCACTTAAATTTTCACTTTATGGCACATGTTCACATTATTTATTAACAATATCTAATAATATAAAATATATACTGCTCAAAAAAATAAAGGGAACACTCAAACAACACAATATAACTCCAAGTAAAGCAAACTTCTGTGAAATCAAACTGTCCACTTAGAAAGCAACACTGATGGAATAGACAACAGGTGGAAATTATTTTCAAAATTTATTTCATTCATTTAGATCTAGGATGTATTTGAGTGTTCCCTTTATTTTTTTGAGCAGTATATTTTGAATTTAACTGAAGACATGACATAATACGGTATATAATATATAGTGAAATACAATGACTTAAATCTTATTGTACAGACTAGGTCATCACATCAGTCTGTCAACTACATTGCCTGTAGTTAACAGGCAATGTTTTAATGTCCAGCAGGTGTCAGTATTCAGTGACACAGTATCGAAACAGTGTCAGTACAGTTTTGATTTGGGTCGAAACCCTTCATGATGCCTCATTTACCCATCATTACGGCGCAGCATAACGTCTAAGTCTTCCTACATTAATTTTGTGGGGTTATACAATGAGACAAAAACAACATTGATTTTCAACTAGAGACAGGAAGAAAAGTTTTAAAAAAAATGTGACAAGCTACTACAATGTACAACGCTATTCTAGAATCCAGAATTTTAAATCCACAATACTTTCAGTCTCCTATTTTAATATTTTACGAGCATTTGTGTTTCTCGGAGCATTACAGGGTCTGATCTTGTGGCAAACCTATTGGAATGTTTACTTATGGGAAGAATGACAGCTATTCTACATATTTTCCATTTTCTAATAAATCTATTCAAAAGTTGTATTATTTTTTATCTACAGGAATTACAGACTTGGAAGAGGTTTCCCAGTTTCTGAAGGAGGGTATCATTATGAAGGACTTCAGCCACACCAATGTTCTCTCTCTGCTGGGCATCTGCCTTCCACCTGAGGGTTCACCGCTGGTGGTCCTGCCCTATATGAAGCATGGTGACTTGCGCAACTTCATCCGTGACGAAGTACATGTAAGAGGGTGCAGCAAAGGTCTTTTCCTCTTATGCCATCTGTTTAGGCGTCACAATGGTTTGATGATGGACAAATATCCATCGGCAAATGTGTTTGTCTCACAGAATCCAACAGTAAAGGACCTGATGGGCTTCGGACTGCAGGTTGCCAGGGGGATGGAGTACCTCGCCAGCAAGAAGTTTGTCCACCGTGACCTGGCTGCCAGAAACTGCATGTGAGCTCGTTTGGATTATTTTATCCAATAACTACACATGATTAAAAAAAAAATGTTGAAAGCACTGTAACAAAACACTTTGGATTTTTCTTGGTTGACAACTTAAAACGTTCCTCACACATTTTTGTGTATTGAAACTCTCCTGACTTCTGAAAAACTTTCATTTCTATTGTTTTGCCAACAGTGTTATTCATTGCAATGTAATGTAGACAGAAGAATGAAGAAATAGATGGTCATGTCATTCATCAATTTTTATTCCCACTTATTGTCACAATAATAGACGTTTAAAATTCACAAGAACTTGCAGAAGTTGTGAAATGTTTTACTTTTATCTGCAGAATAAATGTCCAGTAATGTCGAAATTCATTTATCCCTGTAACTTTAATCACTGTGTGGCAAAATATTTCCAGATTTTCAGTTACAAGAATGAACTCATTTTTGTTTTTAATTATTTTAAATTTTCATAAAGAAATTGTGTGGATTGTCAGACATGTCTTCCAAAACAAAGGATGGATTATTTTTATTCCTATTATTATTCGATTCTTCCTTTTGTAAAGCCAGTTACTAATACAGTTATAACCAGCTTTCAGGAAACAGTAAATGATGCTGCTTTAAAAAAAAATTTAAAAATCTGACAATCTGGTACATTTTATAAATGTACCTAAACATGGGTACATTATTCACTATAGTTGCATATTTTGACCTTAGATTGTTCAACGTTGAAATATGTGCTAATTTTGTCATTTGAAAGAGACGCTATTAGTTTAGCAGGATAAATGATATGCAAACTCTGCTTTGCAGGTGTCATGTGCAAGTAGCAGCCTGTCAGACCACAGATATTCCAGTTTTGTAGATTAAATAAAGTACAAGTCTAAGTCTAAAAATAACAGTTTTTGAACATAAAACACGTTTAATTCAACATTTTAGAAAATGACCTTTTTGTTGCTCAATATATCAAAGACATGTTCTGTTGGTTCTTGTATGTGTGGGAGAGAAAGGAAAATAAAGGCAAAGGAAACTAACCATCTCACCACAGAACGTAATGGTATGCTTTCTCTGCCAGGCTGGATGAGAGTTACACAGTAAAGGTGGCAGACTTCGGCCTCGCTAGAGACGTTTACGACAAAGAATACTACAGCGTCCACAATAAGAGCGGCGTCAAGCTGCCCGTCAAGTGGATGGCCCTAGAGAGTCTCCAAACACACAAGTTCACCACCAAGTCAGATGTGGTGAGAACGCTTTCATTAATTGCTTTAAAATGCAAAGGTGTCACAGGGCTTGGCTTTAAGGAAGAACTTACTTTTATGTTGAGAGGTTTTACAAATCATATTGTAAGTGGATGCTTAATGTTAAGGTTAATTTGTGTAGTATCTGAAAGAAACAGCTGAGGCATGCAAAGTTGCTCAAGGTTTCCCCCAGAAATCCTGCTAAGCCCTTTGGTTAGTGGCTGGGCCTGTCATTCATCCAGCACCCCATTGTGTTTTTGAGTTAAAAATGTTTAAAGTTGACTGTAAATTTGTAAATATCACTTTATGATTATGTGTTATTGGAAGATTAATACCTGAACACCACCTATAAAATCTTAGACTGGTGGGGGCACAAGTAAAGCCTAATGATCCGCCAGGCTTATAATGCACTGAGAGAAACCCCGCTGCATCTGAAAGTCTTGTTTTTTTAACCAGACAAGCAGAATACTGACCCAAACAACATGTTATTTCAAACACGAAGGTAGAGGGATATAATGTTTTGGGGATTTTTTTGCAATCATACAACCAGGACAACTTCCAAGCAACTGCGTCAGCCATCAACTCGTCTGTATGCTGGGTTGAGGCAATGTTATTATTAGCCTAACCGCATTATTAAAGTAAAGACCAGATATTTTCTCTATCACAACTTTATCTTTTGATTAAGCCTTTCACAATAAAAAAATCAGTTAATTGCATGAAGAATTAAAATGTGATGAATAATTTTATCACATTTGATGAAATAAAAAATTTTATATATATTTATATATATATATATATATATATTTCCTGCTTATAGAGTCATGGTCCATTTTCATGTTTTCAGTTGTAAGTGGTTCTTATTTAAGTTTTATTTGCTATTTTGTTTTTGTGTTTTATTTTGGATAGTGAAAATATCTTCCAGTTAAATGCTAAATGTTCTCTACATAATTAAAGTTTACTGGGTTTTGACCAGGCAAACTCTCGAAGACTCATAAATATTTAAGATAACACACCTAACATTAATAACATAATGGTAGTCTTATGCCATTTTTTTTTTTTACTTAAAAATTGTCTCAAAGTAACAATATTGTCATCTTATTACAATAAATCAGTGCTTCTCAAATAGTGGGGCGCGCCCCCTTGGGGGGCGCGGTGCGATACCTGGGGGGGCGTGTGATCCTGGGGAACAGGCTTTTTTTTTGGCCCGAACTAGTATAAAGTGTAATTGCGCACAGTAGGCGGCAGTGGCGCTCTCATTGTTACTTCTGTCACGTTTGCGACAGTGCAACATTTTACGACTTACAAGACAACAGGTTTGCCATGGTTACCAGTGTTACGTCAACAAAAAGCTCCGACTGCGTTCTGTCTATGGCGTCCGTTATTCAACAACCGCCAAAATGAAAAAGTTTTTAACAGGATGAAAAGAAACGCGGAGAGAGTCAAAGATGAGACAACAGAAAGTGAACCGAAAGCTAAGAAGAGAAAATATGACGAAGCGTATTTAGCGCTTGGCTTCACTGTGACTACAGTTGGAGAAGAGGAAAGACCGGTGTGTTTGCTGTGTCTAAAAATGCTCGCAGCGGACAGCATGAAGCCAAATAAATTAGCGCGTCACTTAAATACTTTACATCCCAATCACGCCGATAAGCCTAGAGTTTTTTCAGCGAAAACGTGCTGAATATTGCCAACAGTCATCCCGCTTTGTGAAGGCTACTTCAGTAAACCATCGAGCGCTGCTAGCATCATATAAGGTGGCGTACCAAATTGCGCAGTGCAAAAAGCCCCACACCATAGCAGAGGAGCTGATACTGCCTGCAGCAGTAGACATGGTCTCTGTCATGCTGGACGACGCCAGTGCAGCAAAACTAAAAACTATCCCTCTGTCCAATGACACTGTCGCCAGACGTATAGATGACATTGCCAACGATCTTCAAGAACAGCTGGTAGATAAACTCAAAGACAACGTTTTGCTTTACAATTTGATGAAGCAACTGACAGCAACAAAGACTGTCTGTTTATGCTTATGTACGTTTTGACTTGGCAAACTCCCTGTGTGAGGATCTACTTTTTTGTAAATATGTCAGAGACAGAGCCACAGCTGAAGAGCTATCAAACTCCTGGACTCCTTTTTGACTGAGAATGGGCTAAAGTGGGAGAACTGCATTGGTGTTTGCAGTGATGGTGCACAAACCATGGCAGGGAAGAAAAGGACTTAGGGCACTCATCAAGACAGCCTCACCTCATGCTGAGTGGACACACTGTATTATACACAGAGAAGCACTTGCATCCAGGCAACTTTTCCCTGAATTAAGTGAGGTTATGACTGACATCATAGGTGTAGTCAATTTTATAAAGACCAGACCACTAAAAACAAGAGTCTTCTCTGCCATCTGTGAGGAGATGGGAGCTGAACATCAAGCTGTGCTCTATCACAGTGAAGCAAGGTGGTTGTCACGAGGAAAAGTCTTGTCCCGAGTTTTTGAGCTCAGAGAGCAAATAAGAGTGTTTTTGGAGCAGGAGCACAAGTATGAAGTGGCAGAAAAATTTGTGATGAGAACTTCCTGGGTAAACTGGCCTACCTGAGTGAACATATTTGGAAAGCTAATGAACTGAATCTACAGCTTCAAGGGAAAGATAAACACCCCCGCAGGTCACAGACAAGATTAGCTCTTTCACCCGAAAGCTTGCAATGTGGGGGCAACTTGATGAAGAAACACAGATTCATTTGAAAACCTGCATGAATTTGTGGACACTAATGACTATGATGCTATCTCAGTGATTCCACACATTAAGCAGCATATTTCTTCACTGATGGGATTCTTTAAAAAGTACTTCCCTGAAAACAGTTCCCAGTATGACTGGTGAGAGACCCTTTCAGTGCACCAACTCCAACTGGTTTCAGCTCTGCAGAAGAGGAGCAGTTCATTGACATGACGTCTGACTCACATTGAGACTGAGGTTCACATCACAGATACTCAGTGCATTCTGGCTGAGTGTAGAGAGGCAGTATCCACTCTTAGGGAGAAAGCTATAAGCATTCTGCTTCCTTTTGCAACATCTTACCTTTGTGAGATTGGCTTCTCTGCTGTTGCTGCACTGAAGACCAAGTACAGGTCCCAGCTAAACATTGAGCAGGAGCTGAGAGTTGCACTATCATGCTTTGAACCTCGCTTTGAAAACTGTGCACATCAAACGTGCTCATTGTAGCCATTAAACCTGACTTCTCCTCATTTTGATCAAAAAAACACAGAAAAAATCAGCACAAATTGTTTAATTCATTTTGTTTTGTAGGTTTCAAGTGTTTTATATATTGTGCTCCTGAGTTAATGTTGCTGAACTGAATATAAATTAGTTATTATTTTTTTAGTTTTTGTAGTTTATTAGTTATTATAATTATTAAATATTATTTATTGATTTGATTTAATTTGCAATGGTGCAATTAGTTGGTCAAACATGTTTACAGTTTAACAAGGATTATTTATTTTTTAATTTCAGGCATTGATGCACTTAAAATCTTTTCTGTTGCAGACTTAAAACACGATTTAATAAAGTTATACTTTGTAAGTTTGACCATATGTCTTTCTTTTTTCTTTAATTTAAGAAGGAAATTTGCAGAGATGGATAGTCACGGTGGGAGTAGGGGGCGCGAATAGTTTTCTTCTTGCTAGGGGGGGCGTAACGGAAAATATTGAGAAGCACTGCAATAAATAATGGAACAATTTATTGTCCACCAAAATCAATTGTGACTGGTCTGTTTGTGTTTGTTAAGAAGGTGTGCTAATGGAAGCTAGTATTTTCGCTTTTTTTTCCCAGTGGTCGTTTGGAGTCCTGCTGTGGGAACTGATGACCCGTGGCGCCCCGCCGTACTCTGACGTGAACTCCTTTGATATCACCGTGTTCCTCCTGCAGGGCAGGCGGCTGCTGCAGCCAGAGTTCTGCCCAGATGCTCTGTGAGTGCACACAGGTTCACAGGTTCTGTTCACATCGTTCACACGGCTCAGCTGGCATAAGTAATGTACAGTAAAGCTGTGCTTTCGGTACATCATGAAAGGAAGAATCAGCTACAGTGGATTAACTGTATAAACAACTGCAGTCATAAATCACACTCAGGTCATCCATCATTGTTCCAGATCATGTAGACATGTTCACTAAAAGTTTTCCAGGCAAAATCTACTGAGAGGATGACAAGGAAAATTGCTTTATGCAAATACGATCACCACAATGATTCATCCTTCTCATGACATCAAATGCAATGTTGGGTTGACAATAGAAAATAAGATTTATTTTTGAGAATCTTTTAACTCCTTTTTTATATGTTTTCATAAAAACAGTAAACATTTTCCAGCATTTGTAATTGGTCTTGTAGAAAGTTGTAGAAAAATATTTCAGGTTTTACACTTGTCTCAATCTAACTTTTTTAGATTCTGAACTAGACCATTGGTGGATAGAGTAGTTAAAATTTTTTCTCAAGTCAAACTGGCACTACTTCAGTATATTTTATTACATTTGAAGTAAAAACTAGGCAACTGAAAAAATATTTAAGCAAAACTAACAATAAATGTTTTGGGGGGGGGAATCTACCCCAAAACTGAGTTAAGTGTTTTGTCATCTAATTTAATTTGTGAAAAGTTATGTAATTAGACATTCAAAGTTGTGTGCAAGAAAGTACAAATACAAATCAGTACAGAATATCAGATTCATCCAAATAAATATTTCCACATGTAATTTTCACTACATAAAGGTTTTAAAACCAACACATATAGTAGGCAACATATTACATGTTTAACTAAAAAAGTATTTCCAGTAGCAAAATCTACTGTTTACTGCTTATTCACTTCCCATTTCCTGTAATAGATGCAATAAAATGTCTAGTTCATGTTGACTCATAAAAACCTGTGAAATGCTCCTTTAATTTACCACCAATAGGCTAGCCTTGCGGTCAACTAGCAGCTAACTGGTAAGCCAATTACGATTAATTAGTGGTTAAGCATGTTAAACATGATGCTTAAATGTAATTTTACTTCAGCAGACTAATCTACATATAGAACAGCACTTTATGAGATAGATTCAAATATCATGTCATGTTTAATATCTCAAGAGCAACTTACATCCTGGGAAAAGTAAAAACAAGGGAACCATTACAACCTGGCATTGTAAAACAAACAGCAACAATAATCTGATAGCTGATAACATTATGAGTTGCTCTGTCAGTATGCGTGTGTGTGCGCGTGTGAAACTGGGTAGAAGTTGGGAGTGTTCATGTGGGAGTAAAGCAGAGGACCAGAAGTGCACATCAGAGGAGGATGTATGTCTGCAGACATTCCTGCAATTTTTCCCTGCTGATGGTTCTCAGAGAGCCTCCGGTAGCAGCAGGAACCAGCTTGTAACTTGAGCAAATGTTCTAATGAGGTTTTGTTTTGTTACACTATCTACGAGCAGATCAAAGGAGAAAAGGAGAAAAATTTCTGGCAAGCTGAAGAGTTTTACTGTGGAATGAAGTTACTGAGCTCCGGTCTGTCTGCTCATGTAAATGCAGTAGTGGGTGGTGCTAATTAAAAACTTAGCTGTGCTAACCCTAAAGAACTAATCACAAGCATTAGTTCCACTAACTCCAATGGTACGTTCACACCAAACCCGTTTTCAGCATCAAGCGTCTGGTTTACATTCAAAGTCTACATGGAGCTGCATCAAGGGCCCATCACGGCTCATTTCACACGTCTAGTGCGGCATGATGTGAACCATTTGATGTGCCAAGAGTGTCCAACACATCCGAAACGCCTGACAAATGTGCCAGCAATGGAAAATAACAGCTAGAATAAAGTCTATGTCTGGTGTACATAGACTTTGAATGTAGACCAGACGCTCTTGACATGTGAAACGTTAGGTGTAGAACAAAATGTCAAGCATCTGCATTAAAAGTGAACACCTGTCAAACTTGAAGCATCAGGCACATTTTTGATGCACATTACATGTTTGGTTGTGAAGCATAAAGCACAATGGTCATGTTATTTAGGGGAAAGTAATGCTAAAGCGGGTTTCAGTCACGTGATTTTGATGCCATGGAAATGTGATGTAATTTCAGATGAAGGGCAGAAAGGGACATTTCAATGAGGGTAACCGTTGTGCAGACTTCATATTGTAGAGTGGTAGATACAATTTCCTGCAACTTTTAGCTTTTACTCTTCTAATTTTAGAAACTTGTGGAAACAGGAACAAAACAGTTTTTCTACCTGTTAGTTTTACATTTTGGAGTCCAACATCCAGATGGGTGGAGCCTGATCTCACAGTTCAGAGGATGAGACACGTATATTAAGATGGAAGTGGATTACCTGCTGCTGACTGAAGTACAAGTATTCAGGGCTTAACTGCATCTCACTCGTCAACGTACTGAAGTATTTTAACTATTTGGTTCAGGGCACCAAGTAGAAAGATAAAACTGATTCAATATCGGCTCCATAAAGTAGCGTCAACAAAGTTTTGTCAATGTGGAAGGGAGAGAGTTTCCTGAGAGTTACAAAGTTCCTAATGAGACAAAGAGTAACAATTAGGAACAAGGAGATCCAAATATCCAAACATCTAGTTGAGGTTTCAATGGCAGCAACTGCATATTTAAGAAGGATGGAGCAAAAGAACACTAACCATTTCCTAGTGACATATGATAATGCGCTAGTGAAATAGAAATAAATGCTTGAACTGCTATGTCCAAGCTAAAGAAGACAGCAGCTGAACGTCCTCTCTCATCTCCTCCTCCAGCTACACGGTGATGATTGAGTGCTGGCATCCTAAGCCAGAGCGCCGACCTTCCTTCTCCGAGCTGGTGTCCCGCATCGCCACCATCTTCTCCAGCTTCAGCGGGGAGCACTACGTCCTCCTCAACACGACGTACGTCAACATCGAGAAGATGAGCCCGTACCCCTCCCTTCTTGCCTCCACGTCATCTTCCTCAGACTCCTCTTCTGAGCCCTGCACCTCCTTGTCCCTGCCCTCCCAGTCCCCGCTCCTCTGCCGCAAGGACCATGAATGTTGCACCTGAAACAGGAAGGGAAGTAGTGGGGCCGATCGTCAACTGAGAGATGGACTCAGAAAGCAGGGAGCTACTGTCTATAACTTGCCAAACACTGGACGGTGCGTGTAGAGGACACCAGGGATTCTTTGGAGCTCTGAGTAATCAGGATACTTTTGGAAACCTCAACGTGGCGCAGAGCGAACCTGTTCAGCTCCTACCACAACCTCTCAGTGAGCATAGCCATAGACTTTCACAGGACAGAGGAACTCTGTCACAGAGGGGGAAGGGAGGGCAACAACTTTTTGAATCCACAAAATGGAAAACAACCTTTTTGTTTTCCACTTAACTGGAAAACAAAAAGGTTGCCTGTGTGAAACACCCAGTTGGCTCCTGGGTTAGTTAATCATATATCAGAGAAACAACTACAGTTGTTACACTTGAACAAATGTGGATGCCCTCTAAGAGAGAAGAAAGACAACAATGTAAGTTACCTCTTAAAACACTAGATGGTGGTGAGATTTTGACAGTCTGCAGGTGGTTAATGCTTCAAAGGTGTGTTCTTCAAAACATTCTTGATTGTTTTCTTCAAGTAAGGAGCGACTGTCCTCAGGATGTATTGTTTTTAATAAGGTGTGCCTTGCAAAATTACACAGACCCCCTGGGTTCTTTCACCATGTGTCACATTGCAACACCACTTCACTATCCCACTATGCTCTGGCTGAATGTTCAGGGTTACTGTTGGAAGGTGAACCTTGACCTGAATCGCCTGACTGTACTGTATTTCAGATTCCCATCAAATATGAGCAGTTTCCCTCTTTTTCCTGATGGAAAAACATCTGTATAGCATGACAACGCCATGACCACTTTTCACCAGAGGGTGGTGTGTTAGTTTCCCATGTCATCAAAAGCAAAATTTTGGTCTCATCTGACCATGTTTGCTATCTTCCCTCCAAGAGTAGCAGAATCATTTTATTTGTACTACTTTAAAGACACAGCAAATTTACAAATTCACTAAAATGACTTCCAAAGGCGATTGATTGCGCAAGTGGGTTAAAAATACATGTCAGATTTTATTTGGGCAACTTTTTTTTAATTTTTTACGTTTGTTATAACAGTCGCTATGTTCTGAGCAGAGAATATGAGACAGATAATCTGAAAAAAATCAAGCTCCTCTATCTTCTCCCTGTGGTCCTAGTGCCATTTGCAGAAATGTAGCACGCCCAGTCAGAAACAACCAATCAGAGCCAGGAGGAGGGTCCTTAGCATCGTAAGTCACACTCAATGTTGTTCAAGCTCAAGATTGCCGGTGTGCAGCTGCAGCTGTGTTAATGGTGGGGAAAGACTATAACATAACAGGAATTTACTCCTAATTTCTTGAGGCGTCAGCTTGCTCCACTGTGGGGGAGGAGCCAGCAAGATGGGCTTGTTCAAATTTTCCCCAATGTTCTCAGAACTCCCTTGTGTAGCCATGTATTACTTTCATTCTGCTTCATCAACACAAACTACCTTGTACTGGTCTTCAAAATAAAAATCCCTGTAAATTACACCGATCTTTGCAATTGTAATGAGACAAAATGTAGGAAAAGTCCAGAGGGTGTGAACACTTTTCAGAGGGGATTGCGGTAGTTTCACTGAACTGATCACAAATGGGCATAAGCTTGTAAACCACTCAGTGATCAATGTTATGTTAACGATTGTTTCATGTAGCAGTTTCTTTGGGTCTGGCTGCCAGTGCATTTGGACATGGACACATGTTTGATCTGATGAGAAAAAAAAATTCCGTACTATATTTTTGTATATGACTAAATTAGCCTCTTCAATTAAACACGTTCCAATGGAAAGAGCATTATAAACCAGTTGAACAACCTTTTTTAGTTTTGATAAATCACTGCCATTTTGTAGATAATAAAGCAGAGCACAGTTCAGAGGATGTTTGTTTGGCCTCTGGCTGTTTTTGCCAGATCACATTAAAAGAACAGAACGATGGAGGAGAAAAAGAACAAGACCTTCCTCCTGTTACAGAAAGACTGCCGTCTCCTCGATCACGTTCTCTACCATGTTGTTGACGTTTAACACTCATTGTTGTACAGTATGTGTGCATATCATTTTGTTTTGTCTCTAAAAATTATTGAAGGTACATGTTCCTACATGATGTATAATAAACCTTGTAAGGGTAATAAAGCTATGATTTAAATGTTTCTTTTTTATTGACTGACATTGATTTCTGTTTCAACTAAACAAATTCCAATCTTAACTTGTCTGTTTATGACATTTTATGTTCAGTTTAGTCTCTGAGATTTGACCTTTTCTCTTTAAACCCAAAGGCAACATCAGAACATTTCACTTCTGCCTTCTAACAGTCCGGTGTTGACCTTCCCTGACCCTGCTCATACTTCTTAGTCTTGATTGAGCCATGACTGTGCATTAACAGTGAAGGCCAAGAGTTAGACCTGTACAGAAGTTGGATTATTTAATAAATACAAACTCCTGACAGACAGAACTCCATATCCTCCTCCTAAGGTCATGGCAGATAATGGCCTATTGATATGGACTGTAATTAATTAGACATCCAACCTTCATTGGATTCCAGCAACTGTGGGATATTTGTTATTACAGTCTTCAAGGTCAGATTCATTTTCATCTGTAAAAAGTATCAGTGAGTCATTAGTAGAAGCTTAAAGAAGAATCATTTCGCTAACCTATCCATGCATCAACAATCTTATATTATTTTATATTATATTTTGTTGAGTCACAACTACAAAAAAGTAGTGTTCCTCATTGGATTTTATTTTAGAAATGAACAGTTGGTTTAACCAGTAGATTTACTTACGTTGATTTTTATTTTTTTATTCTTTACAATAGCACATTACATACACGTGTTTATTTTTCTGTCCCTCTAATTACATTACTTCCTCCCACAGTCCAGAAACATGATCTGTGAAGCTAATTAGTTAATAATTACCTTTAGTTGTCCTTAGGATTGAGTGTCTCTTTGTTGTTTGTCCTGTGATGAACTGGTGACCCATACAGACTCTACCCTGCCTCTGGCTGCAGTAATTGCTGGAGATGGATTGCTGGATAAATTGAAAATAATGCTGATGATAATAAAATATTTAGGAAGATGTACATGAGTATTAGCAGACAAGTGCACAAACCTGTATCAAGGAATGAGGCTGTGTTAAAATGTACAAAATGTCCCATTTTTGAACTTTTTGACTCAAAATGTACAAAAATGTCTGAACAGTTTTGAACTATAACCCTGAGATGGACTAGTGACCTGTCCATGGTGACCCCACCACTCGCCCATTGACCCTGGGCAAGATAGGCACTAGCCCAATAGGAATAACCCCAATAGGAATAAAATAAATGGACAGACGGACATATTATAAACTGTTGACCGCTGGAGAATAAGGTTAAAAGTATTTCATTGTTTAAATACAAGCAGAGAATTGGGACAAAGAAGAACCTGATACAAGGTGTCATGTGCAACGATATGTCTGGGTTTCTGGTTTGAAGGATTAAAAACATAACATGTTTTGGATCATCAAACAAATTTTAATATCAGACAAAGAAAACTGAACACAAAATGCTCTTTAGGGGAAAGAAAGGCAGATAATTAATAATAAAACATTCTCTCTAACTCATCCTGAACCATTGAAATTATATCCTCACTAACAATATGGCATTTATTTATTTATTTGATTGTTTATTTGTTTATTTATTCAGAAGTTTTTACTACTTTTATTACTGTTGTGAAGTGAGGGACATTTTGTTCTGTTCGTCCACATGACTGTCCACAAAAGTCTTGGAGATATTTTCTGGGGGAAAAGTGAGATGGGTATTTGTTTTCTTTTTGTTTTGACCTTGAATTTCTCTCATAGTTTTTCCCTATTTTTGTCTAGAATCAAGAACCCTGACCTTAACTGAGACAAGCTAGCCTGTATTGCTCTTGGCTAGCTTGAAAGAGTCTTGGACTGATGTTGGTTAGTCCGACTCTACAGATCAAGGCATGAAGTTTTGCTTTTTGAGATTTGTTTTGTTCACTTTGTGTTGCCAGTCAGATTCTGTTTAAGTATTTTTTGTTTCTGCTGCATGTTTTACAGTGTTGCTCCAATTCAACACACCCATATCAAGTAAATGCTTCATTAGTTGGAATTTGGAGAGGTAACTTGATCAGAATTTTAACTCAGCTTGCAAAAGAATATTAACCACAGTTCTGTCATAATGTCATATATAGATTCAGGTTGGTTTTGGGAGCTAATTTTCTCTTAATAAAATAACTTTATTCATATTTACTCAGGTTGTCTACATATGGGACTGAAATGTGTTACATGATCTAAAACATTGACTGAGAAAGTTATTCACCTCAGGCATAAGACAGTTTTTCTTTAAAAACTTTTGACTGAACTTACACTCACCAGTCACATTATCTAAGACTTTTTTTAAAAAAATATAAAAACATGTATTGTTTTTAAGAGGGAAGAAGATTAGAAGAGAGGAATGTTCAAGCGAACACAGAGCTCTCCACCAGTGTGCATTATCTTTGTCCCAAGGATTAAACTGTCTCTGCAAAAACCACATTAAGCCCCAACTAACATACACAGGAGGCACGTCTGACTTTGCTTTTCAACCTAATCGTCCAGCTCCCTGCAGCCAAACCAGGCTTGTTTTGTCTTTCATCCCTCCTTGCTTTCAGTCTTTCACTCTGCCCCCGTCAGGGCTGCCAGTCCATTCAGACTCAGACACAATGAGAGCTGGATCAGAGTATGTCAGCAGTGGAATCCCATCTTACAAATGTAGCAAGGCTGATGAAGTGTTTTCCATACCAATTGCCAATGAAAATAATCTTGGCTGTTGTAATCTGTGTATTAACAGATTAGTATTCATTTCTTCATACTAATATGCACTAAAGTCAACATGTTGAGGCTTTAATTCTGGCTCAATTCCACTGTTTTCATTTGACTGTGTGGTGAATTTAAGTGTTTGAGCCTGTCTCCTGTGATGCATGCTGGAATTCTATAAGAAGTAAGAAATGTGACCCATGAGAAGAAAACAGTAAAACTGGAAGCTGATTTTATTTATTTTTTTCTCCAGGAGTAATCAGGTGAGTTAGCAGCATCAGTATGCATGACAGAGGAATCACAGATCAGGAGAGCACTACTGTTTTTGCAGTTCTCAGCCCACCTGTACACACGGCCACTCAGAACCTGTTGGCTGACACCAACAGAAATAAACCTGAACACTTCCTCACCAGTTCTTTAAAAAGGTTCTGGGTTATTGGGTGAGCTGCAGACATGGCAGTGCCCTGTGACCAACTGAGTCAGGTCACGGTCATTAAATAGTTAATGAGTTCTGGCTTCGGTGACTTAAGGGAGGGAAATGGCGCCAGGTGGTGGTGTACACACACACACACACACACACACACACACACACACACACACACACACACACACACACACACAACAACTACTGACCCCCTCCATCAGGCGGTGACCTCAGATAAGGTGCTGTGGACATTTGTGTCTGTGTTGAAACAAGTTCAAATTGTTTAATGAGCTATCAGCGCCCCCTGTTGACGCTGCAGTTTTTTTTAACCAACTACAGCAAATAACACCGAGTTACGAAGAATATTTTTGGGAGTTGTCTCTTTTATAACTGAATTAAGATTATTTTGCACCATCGAATCCAAAAATTCTATCCATTTTTCTCAATCAAGTTTTTATTCTAATATGATTTAGAGAAATCTGATCTTCTGATGAAATTGATGACATTTTTGTAATCTTATCGGTTTATTTCCATTAATATTTCTCATTCAAAAAAGGTTTTAGGATATTTTTTTTTCTAACAGTATATTAATGAAATGCTACAAACATGGACTTCTGTACATTGTATAATAATCACTATAAGGGTAAGTACATGTGAATTGAACATTATGTCTTCAATGTGTAAAATTCTCCATCTCTTTTCTGTCCTGATGGAATCTCTCCTGCTCATCATTCATTGATCAGATTTTCAGGAAACTGATCCAGATGAGAGAACAAGTCTTGCATTTTGATGCTCATGTTGCTCCATAGTTCAGGAAGTTGACCTGATTGAGCAAAACCAATGTGATTTTTGGATTCATCAAAATGACCCTGAAACTGTGGAAAATCCCAGACAAGTTTTTGCCTGGTGTCCAGGTGAATCAGAGGACCACATGAAAGAAGGTGATGCTAACTTTGAAGTATTTGTCATGAGTCCAGCTGCAGCATCATCAACATACAATCTGTAGCGTTTTGCAGCCTGTAAAATGTAATGAACGTCTAAGGTCTTGATATGTAGCAGTGATATACCTGCTCCAGATGCAGCAGAGATGCAACATAAAGTTGCTACTGCATTTATCTGAGGCTAGAATGTGTGTATGAATCTGAAGCCTGAAGTTTTTACAAGATCTGATTTAGATATATATCTAAATATATTTAAGAGGGAATTTGCTAGCAGGTTAGCTCTCCTGTTCTGCAGAACATTCTTGAACCCTGACCTCCTCAAATTGGCCAACAGAGAAAGTTGGATTTTAAAGATGCATTGCAAAAATATTTACACAGCTTCAACATGTTTATTATTTCACATTTCACATTGTCTTACAAAGCTGTGTCTCTATGAGTGACTTGTTGCATGCATTCATTTCAGCTTTCAACACCAAGGCTATTAATCCACAAAAGATATTGTTAAGATGTGTGGAAATACAGTCTGGGCTTTAATCCGCTGCCAAGACGGCATTTTTTTCTCTCTCTTGCAGAACTGAAAGAACAGAGAAAACGACACAATCACTCAACATGCCATAGTAAGGATGATACAAAGTTGGGTCTCTCTTAATTTATAAAACTTTCATCATTCTGCACCCATAGTGCTCTGCTGCTTTTGTGTCTTTTCAGGCTGCTGGGCGGGTACTGTTTAAGAGAGAACACTGTAATGAGTATCCAGGGTGACTGGCAAAGTGAGTCACAAAGTAGAGAAATATATTCCCAGTGTTCTCTTTGGTTGCCAGAGGGGAAGAGTAGCTCCGGTATCCCATGAAAGGCTCCAATGCAGGTGTATGCCACTGGGCAGATTAAAGGGTTATTATTTAATCCCTCCATTTGATCTGGCATGGGTCATCATCTTGAAAATACAGCAGGACTGCATGACCCACTTTTGATAATAACGCAAAACTGACTCAGTGGCGA